ATGAAAAACGGTCATGCGTCCTCCTGTTTTGTCTAACCTGTGGGATGCAAATGAAGTTGGAATGGGTGATTGGTACTTAGGCAGAGCGTATGGACATACGGCACGGCGCAGCCATAGGCGTTGTCCAAATTGGCAAAGTTGGTTTCATTCGCATAGCAGATGAGTTGCTGCCTTAATAGTACACCCCGTCCACAATGTCAGAACACTTGTTTCTGTACGAGCGCCCCCTCCCCCCGCCTTCCACCAACGTCACCAAAAGTCCTTTCGACGCTAGTGAAATGGGGCTGGGGACCCGCTAACGCGGAATTACGACTCCCGTGAAAACCGCCGCTTCTCCTGGCGTAATCCCGGACAAATTATCGGTCTGCTCGAGCTCACAGGCAAATCACGCCCCAGATACCGGCGTCAGACAATCATCTCTTCCATATGAACTGCAGGACAATGTATTTGTAGAGCACAACGCCCGGTCACGTGCTTCAACTCGTGATTCTTCCGCACCAGTGATGTGGAAAATACGTCCTCCGGCGTTTGACTTGAGGCGTTTAGTTTTTCAATGTCATGAACCACAATCTGATCACGAATCATGCGAATCGGCATCACACCGAAGACTCGCGGACTTGTGAGCTGTTATGCTGCCTGTCAGAACAACGACAGGCAGTCTTGAAAACATGGGGTATCTACCACGCTTTACCGACCTGTATCAACCTACCACGCTTTTCCGCAAAAGCCGAGTTATGCTCTTGTCGTGTCTGAAAATTATATCCAAAATTATTATATCACTAGATGTCGTTAGCAGCTGGACGGACGCAGCGGTTTGCCGTCGTTTAGTCTTGCTGGTTTTGGCGTTTGAACGCTTTGCTCCCTATCACTGAACCCCTTTTATGTCTCCATTCAGTGGAACAGCCCTCCTGTCAGTGGGACGTACAATACATAGTCGCGTTTACCTAATTCAGCAATTTCCGAGTGTCCACCTGCCTGTCTGTCGGTCCACATTTCTTGAAGCCGACACACAGCACACACGTTTTAACGAGCAGCATATCTTGAGTCAAGTGCAGAGCACAGACGGCTGTACGCATTACCATGACATTTGCGTGCACGTCGGGCTCAACCGTCGTGACGATCCACGACACAAATTCACACCAGTCCAATATAGGCACAGGCCACAGCGCGTGCGAAAAACAAGCATGGTTCGGCGCATACAAATAGATACTTTTCGTCTATATAGGAGAATCAAGTTGTGCAGGGTCCACGCCACTGAGAACAGACCACAAAGCTGGGCGGCAATAAACAAACATGCATACGAATCACGACCAGCCCATGCAATGAATATAGCATCCGACACGCACAGGGGCTGGCAATTGAGGCAAGCATTGGAAAGTAATCACAGCATACTGCGCATCGTCGAGATGCAAATCGATATGTGACTGGGGGGGGGGGGGTGACCTTGATACACCGACTCCAACGGCGCTGGCCATTTACCCGGTAAAGCAAGCGGGAACCACAATCAAATTATATAAATTAGGTGTAGAAGCGCGACAAACGGCGTCGCGTAGGTTACGCGCCCACTTGGTCCATGAGTATCAAACAGCCTTTGAATGCTAATTGAGACCCCTTTCGCCTTCTTGACACACGAACCAACGTTACGTTACGGGGTGCGTCACAGCTGGCGTCAGCGGTGTCGCCACCTCGTGCGGCGAGGCAAGAGGGAATCACTCGTAGTGAGTTATGTACGTAGTCCGCAGGCCAGGTCAGTTATAACGCATAGCTGGCCGGAATTAGGCGTCGAAATTTTGCACTTACGCTTTAACTTTCCCTTCCCTGCACCACCATGTCTGTCAAAGGTTCCCTCACCAAGTGAACTTACAGATAAGGACTGCGGGTGGAATGAGAAGTTCAGCTGCCTGTTTCTGTCGCTGGCTGCCATGGCCGTTTACGTTTGAACAGTGCAGGCGATCAGCCTCTTGAAAACAAAATGTGACGGCATTCCATTTTTACTTTAAAATACCCTTAGCATACAAAATACCCATCTCGCTTCGCATATATTAAAATGCGTTTCTTTTTTCAGCTGCTGGCACCCGTTCTTTGGATCACGTCTCTCCGTTTTTTGCGTTATGCTGGGCAATGCCCGTGAACAACAGCTCAGCCCCCGAACTCTTCCGCGAGCCAAGCTGCACTCTTGCCTGGCTACCACGGCACACCAGCTGGCGAACGCACCTGACATCATCGCGATTAAAGAGCACGAACGTAGAATTGTGCACTGAGTGGGCTTCGAGCATTTCATATCAGCCTAAGCGACAATCCAAAGTCGGGAAGACGTTTGCGTTCGGCGGAATTCAGCTCCAAGAGCGACGCCCTTTTATCTATTTACGTCACACAAATAGCGCTACGAGTAAAAAGCCGGAGGGTTGTCCGTAACGCAGCTTAAGGTATGTGTATCATGTCACATAGTGAGAAAGCGTTCCTCGCGTCAGACACGTCTGCGCCGAGACTCTCCATAGCAGGCACCATATCTTATTTCGGAGACCAGCAGACTGGCGACATAGCAAACTCGTCACAATGGGCGTCGTCCTAGCCGTCACGCGGGGACGGGGATGGCCGGCGTCTGCTCCTCTACAGCTCTTCAAACCCTAAAACGCACGTAAATGGCGCACCTGCGACGCCAAGCATGAACCGCACCTGCATGAACACTTGCAGTCAACGCGCCCTAAAACTCCGCGACTCTGGGAGTGATCACACAGCGCCGCCCATGGTTTCCAAGGGAACTGTGATACGACGGGGGAATGAGTTACGTGGCGTGCTGTGGCGTTAATGCGGCGTGCTGGGGCCCGACCACTGAACGGAGAAACTGATTGACCCAGTACTTCCCCACTGGGTTGATCTACTCTTATCTACTCCATCAAAAGGCTGCAGTGTATCGACGGAGTAGATTGTTCAGTTGGTCTATATTCATGGTGTTAAGACTGGGGGAGCACCGGGTAGTGCCACGCGCCAAGATACCTCTGCTATACCAAGACTGCATAAGAAGGTAACTATACTACAGTTACCTTATATGTATCTGCTTTACCTGCTGTACCCGGCCCACATGCGTATTGTTGGCAGGGTATGCAAAATGTTCCTTTAAGGCACGCGGTATGAGGTATAAAGACACGTCTAAGCCGCGCTCCAGCTCCAAACCCTCGCATCGGTCGTCAGGACCTGAAGCGTGAGCTCGCTGGCGAAGTGCGCTGTTGGCCTGCCAACTATTTCAAGGTCCGACCCAACCCTAGTCCACGATCTCCATCTGTCTTCTGTGATGTGACAACGCAGCTTAGGCTGCGCCCCCAGCACGGCTTAAACGGCTGGTGGTGGCTTCATCGAAACGGAAGTCAGGACACTCAGCGCACGGCACGCTCTGCTACGTTACGGCGTACTCGTATATCCTGGTGTCCTCACACAGACAGTTACCTCCAGCATGTGATGCAAAACTCGGGGGAATCTGCACGGGGTGCGTTTTCTTCTCTCATCATCTCATTTCCCTCATGGTCGAGCCCACCCACGAGGGCCGCGACATGTAATTTGGTGCCTTTTCAGCACATGTTGGTCGGGGTTTTAGGGCGTTCTGGCCACAAAGGCCGATTCGTGCATCGTCGGTTTGGTTTGATCATCTGTGTATTGGTTCGAAAAAGCTACCCGCAGCGCTCACATCACCCGCGTAGTCGGTGTGCGCTGCCCCGTGCGAGCTCCACCGACGAGCCTCCTGGGGCGGGCAGTGGAGGGGAGGCCACACCACCCGTGCGGTCTGTGTGCGGCACGACCCGAACATCGCAACGTCACCAGCCAGCGGCGTCAGATCCAAGATAATTAAAACATTTACCCTCATAGCAGGTATTCTGCGATGAAATATTACATAGATGAAACAAAAATACTGACCAAACGGCGTATCCGCTTGTATGAGGCATAGCATGAATCCTAATGCAATCTACGCGTTAGGTTTACCACCCGCCTTGCGCGTATGACCCGGGCATGTGCAGTACAGCTAGCATCGCTGACATCAACCAGGTTACGACACAATGGGTCCCTACCAGCACGCTGGGCTAATTTGTTCTAGTTTGCTGTTCTGCCGCACAGCAAACCTGAACAATATTTCCACAAAAATTGGCAATATTTGACAAAATATTTGAACGCAGCAGCAGCGACCAGCCAGGATCTGTCAGGTCTCTGAGCGCATCAAACCCTGACATGGTTGACAGACATTGATCATTGCTATGGAAATCCTTAGGATGCGTGTGCTGGATCTGGCTGAACACGTTGATCATTCAACTAGGACATTGTAAATGACCATTTTTAAGCTAAATTGCCTTAGAATTGACGCAAAATGGCTTCCGGAACAGCTAAAAAAAAAAACGACACCCGCGTGTAGTACCCGCTGATGATTAACGTGTACCAAGAAATTGGAGATTTGTCCGAGGGACCATCACGGGAGATGACTCCTGTGTCCATCGCTGTCAAGAGGATACAAGGGGTCAGTCTACCGAGTGCAGACATCCTGGGTCCCCAGCACCAAAGAAGTTCAGAGCTGTTTCTTTCGTAAGATCATGGTTGCCTGTTCTGTGATCAAGATGGCATCCTTTGGCAGGATGTCCTAGTGCTCGGGGAGGCAATCGACAGTGAAGGTCAAATCGCAAAGGTCAAATGCGCTGTATGGAAATGGGTAAGGAAGACCACGTGGGCGTGCACTTGCCGGGTAGGGTTTCGCCGTGGCTTGGGGCCCTCGGAGAGTTGCGTCCAGTGGTGCTAACTGGGTAGAGAAGCATAGTGTAGTCGGAGATTGCGAGACAAAAACGTGTGCAGGTTTTAACACGTGAGCTTGAGATATAAAGGAAGTTATGACTCATCGCTCCTTACGTATTAACGGCCGCGTATAGGTCTGCACGCCACATCACGGTGGCACTCCTGCCTGCAGGCCGAGAGCGTGGCGCCAGGTCGGCCAGGCGGCCCCACGTGCGCTGGCAGGAGCGGCGTCACGTCACTCGCGTCACTGTATTGTGTACACCAACTCGTCGTCTGCAGACAGCATGCGTTGGACAGCTCCAATTCCCTAGCACAGTCATCCTACGCTGCTCCGGAGGAGACCTCGCCGGGTGCATCTACAGACCAGCAGTGTGCTGTTGCCACCCATCCCGCACCAGGCGGCGGCGGCCGCTCCGCCAGGCCGTCCTACCGCCACGTGACGGGCACAGCTCGACACCGGCGACCACTCTGCGTCTCGACGGCGACGCCGCCCGTCATCACGGCTGAGCCCGCTTATCACCCAGCCCGATGAAGGGGAAGGGACAACGGGCCCGCCAGTAGTCTCACATGCGAACAACGGTAGTCTGTACACGCTTAAACACGCGCACGCCCGGAGAACACAGACAGAACGCGGCGCCAGTCCGCGCCGGCTGGTCACGTGACCGCCGCACACGCGCCAGTGCGGTCAGCCGATGCGCATCGGCAGCGCGCCACACCGAGCTTCTCGGTGGCGGCGGGAGTACAGCGATCTGCACGCGGCGTCGGCGCTGCCCGCGAGCCCACTGGCTGCCCGGGCAGATGTCACACGGTCCGGGCAGGGGCCAACGGCGCATCAGGCCCATCCGACACGGCTTGCATTGATAATTGCTCTACACTATTGTATCATAGTCTGTTTCACACAATCACCTGCACAAAGCCCCTAGATAGGACGCCGAAAAATCTGATCAATGCGGATGTAGGTAAAACATAACGCGTACGGTTAAGAAAACGGATGAGAACGTTCCAGCTTTGATTGGCCTCAACTTACGACGCCCGATATTGGGCTCCCTGCCACTGATAGCTTACAGAGCGGTATATTTGTGATTGGCTTCGATTCAGCGCAATCTACATCAAATCTCGCTGAGCTTACAGGATGAGAGTTCCTCATGCTCCGACCTCGGGTATCGCCGTGTAATTTTGTTCACAAAGTCCAACTAACGACCCGGCCAGGCCAAGGAACCTATTTCAACAGTCTTCTGCGGACGTAGGATACGCTCCCAACGCCGTTCAGGTAACGAGTCCAAAAAACGAATTTTCTTAGTACATTTCGCTTTTTATCGCGAGGCAACAATGCTTTACTATTGTTTATAGTATACCTGACATAAGACAAACCGCTGGACTGGAGGGTGACATGCTACTCATCACTGATGGTTTAAGCCGACTGGTCGGGCAGACTGTCCTCATCATGAAAGTGACGTGCCGACTTTATCATGCATCACTAAACCATGGTAGATTTTTAAGTTTCCACTCAATATGGCATCAAGAAACCGTCTTCAGAGGTGATCCATAAGCGCCAAGTGTTAGATGCATACCCATAGTTGTATACCAGTTACAGCCGTCATTCTGCTCACATAAGTTCGCTTAACATTCAATACGCCTGATCTTCATAAAATACGAATTCCACTTCCCGGAAAGCACAAGGCAAAATTTGAATCACGATAGCCACAAACGCGCTCGCTGAGCCTAGTCGATACGGTGCACCACCTGGCGGGAGCCTCGGCAACCCCGACCGACGACGACGCCGATAGGCGGCGCTCTCAGACCTTCAGCGGGTGAGTGGTCATCACGCCTCCGTGCTCGCACATGGTCTTGGAGATCTCGGCCATGTTGGCGAAGTTCTCATTGGCCACCTTGGAGTTGATGGCCGTGAGGTTGAGCTGGATCCTGTCCGAGGCCTGTAACGGGTCGACGGCACCGTCACCGAGGCGCATTGGGAATGAAAGCGTTGTGGTGCGCAATGTGCGCACGTCCTGCGTGTATCTATCCACGCTTTCCCGGAAAACCCGATCAAGACGCCCGCCGGACAGCGCTGCGGGAGGCACTTCACTCGGACCAACGACGGCAGCATGCCGAACCTGATGACTGTGGCACAGCACGTCAGTCTGTCAGCAGGTCAAGGATTGACACCCCGGCAGGTCTGGAACGGCCCCCAGTCCCGGCAGCTGACGTAACCTCCGACCGACAGCGGCGGGGGTTTGTCTCACGCGACACGGCACGGACCGTTCTTACACGAAACTGCTGCGACTCCGAGCGGGCAGAGGATATCGATGGCCTTCAGCAGGCACAGTGCGTCCACTTTTACAACGACGAGGCCTGTGTGAATTACGGAGCAGAGGGGCGGAGTATCTCGGTCATGCACACGCAAGTCTTCCAGAAAACCATCACCAAAGAAGGAACACTTGACAGGGTCAATGGGTAACACAGTTCATGTGCGAGTGAGCACCAGCGATCAGGTTTCATACACGGACGCGTTCTCTGGAAAAGGCAGACGTGCAGTGACCAGAGAACGACGCCCAGACGCATTCCGAGCGCGCCGCTTGGGATGAAAGATAGCATGGGATGCGATGAAAAGATCGAAGCGATAACACGACAGGAACTGATATCTGAAGGGCGTGCTCCACATTTGTATGGGGTTTTAGCCTGAAATAGACATCTTGAATATAATTTGGTGCAGTTTACAGCCCTGCCCTTCTTTAGACCTAAACCTTTCTAGTTTCTGAACTACAAGCCCGTGAAGATGTGCAGACTATTTCGGTTTTTCTAAGGTCATCCAGGCATCCATGACGTCAGAATAACGCCATTTAAATCCTGACATTCCATGGGCCATGCGACGATTAAGGCAAAAAAACGCAATTGTCGATTCATTCATGTCTGACGTTCGTGAGCACGATTTCCAAATGCAACGGCCGTCAATCGGCTCACGATCAATGTCGTACAAAGTATGTAATCAAACAATGACGTTTTGAGGAGTATATTTGCCTCACGGAAAAACTGCGCTCTCTAGGGCAGCCTTTTCCACTTACAATAAGACTAATAGTTGAATGGGAGTTTATATCCTTCTATCCCATGCTTGCTTCAACATCTTCAAATGTGGAGTAGTCTCTTTAAGATGCGACATTTAGCTATGTGCATGATTGCAGGGCATGCATCAGAACCTCCCAAATCCGCCCTCTGACCGCCCCCGTTCCAATGCCATTTCCCGCCGCGACCACTACTGCCGCTGTGTGACTGGCCCCGACACGGACCGCAGCGCCACCTCGTGGTGCCGGCTGCAACTGCTAGTGTCATTTCCACTCACCTCGTTGCACCATACGGTGGCCATCTTCCGCTCAAACTCTGCCGACGGCTGGCTCATCTTCGATGATCTGTAATAGTGGAGGGCGTTATAGATCGCCCCACAAACGGTGGCACCAGTGCCAGGCCGTGGCGATGTCCGCAAAAGGCAGGCTATGTTTTGAAAGTTTAAAGTTTGCAGAGAGGGAAAGCACAAAGAAACAAGTTGTTCACTTGTTTCATTTTTCGGTGAAAAAAATGACTGGTTAGAGGTATGAAACAATCGAAAATTGTTATGAATGTGCACGATTAAATTTTAGGTAAGCCATTCCATTTTCTACATTTTCCTTCCTATCAAAATTATCATATTGTCTATATCTTATCTGTGCATCATATTACCTATATATTTGTCCTTTCCAGTGTCAGCTTTAAAGAGATCATGCAATCTTGGCTTCAACATCGGTCATTGGGAAAGTTAAAGTGTTCGGACAAATGTTTTACTGATTTTGGAAACACTTAAAAAATTGGTTTCTGGTAGCCTCTATCTCATCTAATTTGCAAGTCACTTGTTGGTGCTTCATTCGGGACGACCAAATAACAGTCACGTGCGCACACGTTTAATAACGTGTCACTCGACTGCGTGTCCCCGGCGGGTCCACTGACCTGGAGGCGCGGGACAGCACCACCATCATGGCGTAGAGGTCGATGGCCGCCTCGGCCAGCCGGTTCAGCAGGAACTGCTCATCCACCACCTGCTTCCCGTAGCGCATCAGCATCTGCTCCGAGCTGTGGCCGAACGCCTCGATCGCCTGCGGCACAATCGGGGGTCACAGGTCAGATCGGAGCAGGTGTGCGAGTCACGTGCCACGCAGAGGTGGTGCGAGGTCACGCTGGAGCCACCCGTCGTTTACAACGACGTCCCACGGTATGGTTATAGCAAACGGCAGGACTCAGCATTTCGCATGCGAGCTGATAACTCCAACCATTCTCCCGTTCACCTCGCGACCTTACCGACATCGAGACCAAAAGCCACACATGATCGGGTACTGAACGCCACCCAGTATCGCACATTCCCGGCTATGCCGCCGCCGCGGCGTCCCTGCCGGCGCCGTTCGCCCTCTCGGCCCCGCACCCGTCTGCGGCGCTCACCCGGGCTGCCAGCTGGGCCGGGTGGCGCAGCTCGGGCTCCACGTGCTGATCCAGCGCCGGGCCGCCGGTGAAGCCGACCACGCGGCGTGCGCGGCTCATGCCGGCGCCCAGGATCATGCCCATGTTGGCGGCCGGGTTCTTGAGCGCCCGCTGCAGCTCCTTCAGGTGGCCGCCGGCGTGCTGCAGACCTGGTGGCGGCGCGGCGACACGGCGGCACGGTCAGCGACCGGGGCGGGCGCCAACATCGGGGCAGCGCGCTCTCACAGAGAAACGAACGCTACACACTGAGATGGCAGAGAAGTGCCTGGGTGCGACAGCTCACAACGTTTAAAGTCATCTCCGTCACATATCTGCACATTTGCACACCAGAACGGGCCGTTATTCCAGCGACCTAGCAGCGCCCCCGCCCTACCTTCTGCCGGCCCCGTCACCGCCACTCACCGGTCAGCGCCACAAACAGGCGCAGGATGTCGTTGGTGCCCTCGAAGATGCGGAAGATCCGCAGGTCGCGCAGAACGCGCTCCAGGCCGGCGTCCTTCATGAAGCCCATGCCGCCCAGCACCTGGATCGCCTCGTCCGTGACGTTCCAGGCCGCCTCCGAAGCGAACACCTGATGAGGAACGACGCGGAGCGGGTCATTACACGGCCGGGCCACAGCTGGGACGGCAGTAATACGGCGGGGCAGCGGTACAACGGGCCAAAGACAGCCCGGGGTGGGTCATTACACGGCCGGGCTGCAGCTGGGATGGCAGTAATACGGCGGGGCAGCGGTACAACGGGCCGAAGGCAGCCCAGGATGGGTCATTTCACAGCCGAGCCACTGCTGGGGCAGTGGTAATACAGCGGGCAGTGGTGGTACAGCGGGGCAGCGGTACAGCGGACGGAAGGCAGCACGGGATGGGTCATTTCACAGCCGGGCCACTGCTGGGGCACCGGTAATACAGCGGGGCAGTGGTACAGCAGACCACTTGTGATGCTCGCATCAGACAAGCACAGACAAGAACGAGGCGAACGGGGGTAGGGGCCGTCTGGCGTGCCACGCGCAGGCTCCCACATGCAACCGTCGATACGCGCGCCGCTACAGGCACCGTTGGAGGCGAGCCTGCTTACCTTGCTGATGGCGGCTTCCAGCTGGAAGTCAACCGAGCCGCGGTCCATGTTGGACGAGATCATGTAGGCCATCGACTCGGTGACGTAGTGCAGCATGGACATGCGGGCCAGCTTCTCCTGTCGAGGGAGGAGCCGGCCGGCGTCACGGTCAGATGGCAGCGCGGCGGCCCGGCGGCCCGGCGGGTGGCGCGGCTCCTCGGAAGGCGGGCGCACTCAACACTCGCTCAGGGCTGGCAAAAACCAGTGCCGTGAAGCACTCTTCATACACGTCCCCTAACTCCCCCAAAACATTCAGCCCTGGCCTGACCTAACCAAGCCTGCTGGCAATGCCCTGGTCGCCGCTTTATATGGTCTCACCTGGCCGGCAACTTTTGCACGTCGCCTCCCCTCCCCCTTGACGAATGTCCCGGTCCGACGGACTGCCGCACCGTCAGTGTCCTCTGCTCCCACGACTCGCCCCACCCTTGACCTGACCGGGTGCTGCCGGCGCCGCGGCGCTCACCTGAATGGCGCCGTAAGAGTCGATGCGGCGGCCGAACTGCGTGCGGTTGGTGGCGTGGTCCACCGCCTTCTGGATGCTGTAGCGCATGGTGCCCGTCAGCGCCGACGCCATGCCGAACCGGCCGTTGTTCAGGATGTTCATGGCCACCTGGCGGACGCGGCACGCACCGTCAGTCGGCGCGGTCGGCGGCAGAGGGCAGACGCTCGACACCTAACAGAAGAGTGCGGTCCCGGCGGACCCCGGCGAATCACGCGCACGGTGGCGCCTTCCCGCCACGACCGAACCCTGCGGCGACACCGCCGCTTCAGACAGCACACGAATCGCAGGGCCGCAGCCCACTACGGCACCACGTGATGAGCTGGCGTGTCGCCAGTGTTCGCCAGCTCACCTTGAAGCCTCCGCCGATGCCTCCGAGCACGTTCTCCACCGGCACCTTGACGTCCTCGTAGTACACCTCGGCCGTGTTGGACGCCTTGATGCCCATCTTCTTCTCGGGCGCACCGTTGGTGACCCCTCCGAACGAGCGCTCCACAATGAAGGCCGTGACCTTGTCCTTGACCTCGCCGGTGGCCTCATTCTTGACCGGCGTCTGCGCGAATACCGTCATGATCTCGGCAAAGCCGCCGTTCGAGATCCAGATCTTGCTGCCGTTCAGGATGTAGTGTTTGCCGTCCTTGCTCAGCTCGGCACGCGTTCTGGAAGAGCGACGGAACGGTGCTGACATCTGCCGGCGGACCGGCCAAATGGTCGGGGAGTTAGACATGACTCAGCAGTACCCGTTGATTGCACAGATGATTGCACTGAGCCTCACGGTCTGGTGAGGCACTCATGACGTTCACCCCAGCTGCACGCTACGAGTCATGACGCAACGCGTGGACGAAACAGCGTCTGGTCGACGACTGTTCTGTAACATAGCGTTATCTGAATGAACGATGTTTCCACGAACTCCAATGCATGAGGAGACAGCAGAAACATCCACATACTCATGCGTGGGACTCTATACAGATGTTGTTCACGACGCAAAAGGCGTGCGCGGTGAGCGAAGTGAGTAGCACTGCGCCGGCCGGGCAGCGCGAGCGCACTGACTTGATGGAGCTGGCGTCGCTGCCAGACGCCGGCTCTGTCAGACAGAAGGCCGCCATCAACTCGCCACTGGCCAACTTCGGCAGGTACTTGGCCTTCTGCTCCGGGTCGCCGAACAGCAGGATACCCTGGCGGCGGATCACGGACGGCCATTGAGGAGCACAGCTCGTGATGCAGCCTCCTAGCGTCTTCATGTTACGCACACGTCAACAGAGCAGTCGGCTTAACGTGCCGTCGCGAGCGACGGTCGGACTCCGAGGCAGATACAAATATCACATCCGTGGCAAACTAAGCATTCAGCTTCCAACTCCCGCCTCATTCTCTCTCCTCTCCAGCTCCCCAACACACCTCGAAGTCGTACCTTCAACCACGTCGATTATCTTACGCCGGTGTTACAGTCATGTCTGAACATCGCGATGTTTATCGTGTGCGCTGCGTTTCATTTCCGCGCCTCTCGGTTAAAGTCCAGCACCCCTCTCCCAGTCGCAAATCCCCCGACGTCGTTATCAGATCGATAAGACGTAATCCGCACCAAACCATGACCGACTAGCTGCACCGCACAGACCAAAACGACATTGCAAGGTCTCAGGGTTTATCTCGTTGCGCAGAGCTGGGCTCAAATGGTACTACACAATCATGTACAGAAATTTGCATCGATAAAACATTGTGAAAACAGACGTTCAGCATGTGTGGTGTTATTTATGCATGCAAAGTACCATGAAGAGACGAGCGAGGATCCAGGAACTAAGCATTCTAAAAATAGCAAGATCAAAACCAGCTGCGTCGCATGGCGTGTTGGTGCTGTCGGCGCGGACCGTAAGCAGCATCGATCCGGTGCCGCCAGCTGTGAGCGGTCGCAAGACTGACCTTGAAGCCGATGCTCTGATGGGCGCCCATGGTGATGGCGATGCCCAGGTCGTGGAAGCCGACGATCTCGGTCATGCGCGCGTACTGAGTGTTGGTCAGACCGACGCCGCCCAGCTCCTGGGGCACCTGGCGGTTTGGCCCGGGAACGTCAAATCACTGACCGTCGCCACTGGACTACGCGTGGCACCTCAGGTGATACGGCACACAGCGGCTACCGAAGGGCGCCTCCGAAACAAAGCACAGGCACTTCGCCTCTAAACACTACACTCCGACACATCCATGGTATCGTTCGCAGGTCTGCGTGACTTCGATGAAAATCAACGCCCGCCTGGATCGCAATGCCTTTCTCCAGCTACGCAACCGTTCCGGCGCCCGTCCACACCCTTCCCAGCCCCGTACGGTGGGTACCCTCCCTCTCGGCTCCCAGCAGCGTCTTCCCCGGCGCGAGCGCGTCCTCCCAAATGCACGATACCCCCTTCCCCCCTCCCCCCCCCCCCTCCATCCCCGCCGATCGCCCCGCCCCGGCGCACCTGCAGGCCGAAGGAGCCCATCTCGCGGAGCCCCTGCATCGTGTCGGCGTCGATGCACTCGTTGGCGTCGTTCTTGGCGGCGTCGACACAGTCGTAGAAGAACTTCTCGACGGGGTCAAGTAGCGACTCCAGCGTCTCGCGCTGCTCGGCGGTCATCACGTCCGGGAAGGGGAACACCTGGTCCGTCACTGCCGACCCCTTGAAGATGTTCAGCACGAACGACTTGGAGTCCTTGGCCAACTTGTCCATGCTGCGCTCCTTGCGCTCCGGCTTCGGTGCGTTGGACTGACATCTGAAGGCAGGCGGGCAGCTGGTGACGTCACTGGTAGAGTGGAAATGCCACCAGGCCAGCGCAGCAGTGCTCGTGTTCATGTTCGGCAATTGTCCGTACATTCGACGACGGGACGCGTTGTAAAGGTGTCGAAATCGCGTTTCATATGCTTGACACTCGAGTGATGAGAATCATTCGGGCTTTAGGGCGCCACAACTGCTACATTGTACAGCGCCCCTGAAGCTCGGAGGACCCACCGCCGGATCAATGGAGTTGGGAACGGCACCGTGGCGAAGAAAGGGCTGGGGTGACCATCGTGTATCGCCGTATCATGTGACGTAACCACTACCGGCACCCTTCGCTGCCTCTCCCTTCCAGAGCAAATGGAATGCGATTATGGCTCCATCGCGCCTTTTACATACAGTTACCACTAATTTAATAGCAATTCAATTATATACAACCCCGTCCTGACAACACGGTGCGACTTGAGGTCTCCCTTGCAATCTTGGTGCCACGCCCGCGCCATTTCGTTTGCGCCAAATATAGACGGGCAGGGACGTCAGGACGGCCGTTTGGGCGCTACAGACGCGACGAGGCTGCCGCCTGCGCCAGCAACCGAGGTCACGTGACCCTGCTGGCTCTGGCGAGCAGCGTCCGCCAATTCACCGGCAGCCGGCTGCCAGAACTGCAGGCGACGGCCGCCGATGTGCTGTCAACAGATGACGCAGAAGGGGGCGCGCCGGAGGGTCACGGCGGCCAGCCGCGTCCCGCCACTGCTGGAGGACGGACGCCGAGCCACACCGGCGGCGTCGGAGCGACAGTGCAGGACGCATCGAATCAGGGGACTACGGGACTAATACGGGGCATTGGAGAACTACATCTGTCCATGCAGCCAATCGCACTTGGAGCCCAGAGGCTTTGGTGACGAAAACGGCGCGCCACCATTGAACACAGTGGCGGACGGGAACAACGCTGCGGGCTGGACGCTCCTCTGATCGCGACACACGCCCTGAGCCGACACCCGACTGGTCAAACAACTGAGGAGAACTGCTGATGCCAGTCTCAATCATAGCGGCGACTTTTTTTTTATTACTTGATCTAAATAATCCTCGGCCCTGTGGCACATGTCATCGTCATCACAGAAAAGCACACTATCACTGATGTTTCAACTTTTTGAGAAACTGGGCCCGTTATAAATCATCATTACAAGGCACCTAAAGTTGAAACAAACTCTCCCAACTCACTTGTTTTTTGTTGTTTGTTTCCTCCGGACAAATAATTCTGAGAAGGTAAAAACATGGGTTCCATGACAAGCAAGTATGTCCTAACCTCATTTTAGAAATGGCAGTTGTTTAGTCCATAACAGTACAGGTAAAGAAAAACCAAAATTGACAAACAACAACCTTTCTGTTGTTCATATTTACTAAGGTTCAAAAACATGTTTCAAGGAGATTTTTGGCTTGTTCTGGAAGCATACAATTACAGCTTTTTTTAGTGCACCTTATCCATTTCAAGCCCACAAAATGTTAGTTAGGTGCTAAAGAATCAGGAGATGAAACTTTCACTACTCCATTGAAGCTGAACAGCTTTTTATCAAACAACTTTCAAAGCTCCTATGCATGTTCATATCAAACATTCTGAAGACAGAGGTAGATAGACCAGGCATGGCAGAGGAATGGTGGGATAAGAAGAACACATTAATAGCATATATATAGAGTTTGTATATCCTTCATTATTCCAAAAATTGATGTGGTCCTCAAACTGGGCCTGATGTGGTGCTCTAAAGGCATCCACACCTTGGGATCCAGTGATGTTAGTTTTCCCGGGATTAAAGCTAGCAGGATACTCTAGCGCTGAGATGCTGGCATGAGCACCTTAACATAAAAACATAAGATTTGTGCTGCACACCAATTTAAGTATGCTGTGTTGGATCGCTGCTTAAACAATGACAGAAAGCAATATCTCTAATACTTAACATATCTGTATCTTATAAACAAACAGCATATTCAGCAGCAAACAAACAAACAAGCAGTGACATCTTTAGCCACTCTGGCTGTGCTGTTTCAAGCAGCAGCAAAGGCAGATGACTGTGGTGTGCATATTTTGGCACATGTTATGTAAGTATCTATTCTACCCAAGCACATGCACATAGCCCCTGCCACTTACTGGATTATAAAACAATCATGCTTCTATCACATTTCTTTGCTGACCTCTAGCCCACCAATTATTCCATTTCCTGTACAAAACACTTGAAAATACAATAGCAAGTGTTTCAATGCAAAGAACACAACACATAATACATTCAGCTTTCAAAGCCCCACTTCTGTGTGAACACCATAAGTCTGTAAAATTAGCAAATGGGTGCATTCACTAGCCATTTAGAAGTGATGCTACAGAACTTGAATGCTCTCAGCTTTGCCAGAGCAAAAGCATAAGCAAACATGAATATTTTTATGGTTCACTTATTTTGCAATGTTTTGTGTGCACCCAATTCAAAGGGTAACATTACCTTTTGAGCAAAATGTCATATCTTATTTTTTTCATTACCTCCCTAGTGGCTGTGTTCAGTATAGTTGATGCAAGCTGCAATATGGCTATCGCCACTTATTATGTTGTTTAGAATGGTGTGAAATATGATCAAATGATGTCAACTCCGTTAAGTTATGCTGAGCTGTTTTTTTCAATAAAAAGGGAATGTAAAAAGTCTCATCTTGGAGTCCAATGTGCTGACCACTTTGTTATGTAACAGTGACAGTTGACACAGCATTCAAAGCTGCAAACATTGCATGTGAAGCTGAGCACATCTGGCATAGCAACAACAAAACAATAACAATTATAGTGCATGTACACTGCAAATCCTAGCACTCGAGGAGTTTGGTGAATGATCCATTAAATTCACCTTAAAAAGCCCAGTTTGAGGAATTATGATGGTGTTAAGGTTGCAACTCATTTTAGAACTTTCACTATTTGACCTGTCCTGAGCTTGGTGCATGCAAGTTTAAGGTTCAGTGCACACATGTTGTGTAGGCTTCCAGCACAGTGGATGGGTGGATTAAATTCTAGACATCATGCTGCTTGTGCAAAGCTTAATACCAGCACTTTCAATGCATGAAACATTAAACAACAGAGTGTAAAAAACATAACTTACATGCTGAAACCATTTCAGACTGTGGTGGATTTTTAATCACAACACACGTAACACAATACGATCAGTTACATAACCAATATCAGCGCGCAATGTCCTAACTTACCTGATCTGCGATATGGCGGGACGGAAATCCCGCATATGCTTGGAAACGGTCAGCGACGAAAGCCTTCCAATGCCGTACATATTGTTTTTTTATAATTGACAGTCAAGTACCAATAAAAACTCGCAACTATCCCACTGACTTTCACCGCAGGCGCAGACCGTCCTCCGCAAACTCCCGACAGCGCAACGCAGGACGGCAAATGCGACGATTCCGACGTTGAAAACAAGGCCACGAGAATTGAATGTGGCGAATTGGGACCAAGCTTATCTACTGCCAAAGTTCTTGGCAACAACCGTCGAGTCAATTTCTATTCTAAAGAGGCTAAGTATGGTGCTGATAAAGTGAACAACCTAAAAAAGTGTAAGAGGATACTCTAAAAATAGCACCATTTGGTTATCCACTGGAACAGTGTCTTTCAAACTGTAATGCTGTTTGGGTTATGGAGCAAGTCATCATTCATTTTCGGGAAGCTAAATCATGTAATACAACAATACAGCAAAATTTAGGCTACATTTAAGCCAGTGACTATCTTTTTATCTTTGCCATCAACTTGGTTGAAGTTAAAATTGCTAAGTTTTGCAACATTAAAGTATGATAGTGGTATGATAATCGTAGAAGAGTCGGAGTCACGTGCCCCGCGTAGCTGTGGTGTTTTGGTTCGTGCGAGGTAACGCAGCGGGAGGAAGGCGGCGGCGTTTTGCATTGTATGTAACGCTGAATTTATGCCCTAAGGTTCGAACGAACCATAAGGGGTTAGCTGTTTTGTGAGTGGAAAATCTCGTTCGGTATTAGTCATTGCTTCGGTGAGTACAAGGCATTTGAACAGCCTACATGACAGAAACGGTAATTTTTTACTTGGGTACCTGTATGGCCGACGGAGGGAAGAGCTACGCTAGCTGCAGGGTTTCGAGTATTGTCGTGCGGGGCAAAAGCTGTGAGGTATCAGCTAACATTGTGACGTCACTGAAAATGGTTTTGCATCGATCGGGACCGGGGTTCTTTCGGGCCGACTGAAGGCTATAAGGCTTTTGCTTGTGATATGATGTCACTGGTATTCGGCTGGGTATGTGACGTCACTGGTCGTGAGTATGTAAGGCTCTTTTGGGTCCACTGAATGCCGTAATGCATCAGCTGGCCATGTGTCGTCACTGGTATTCGATTGAACATCAGGCGCGGCCGGCCTCGTCCCATCTTTACTTTTCGTACCTGTCTGCTGCAAGCATTTGCGTGCCGCATAAAGGTTTGACCGAATTACCCCAATGTGTGACGTCCCTAATCATCACTTCATACGAGTGCACTTAGGCCCCACGACCACGGTGTGTCGTGGTCCGCGAAGTATCACCGGATAGCGTGACGTCACTGGTATTCGAATAAATACTGGGCGCAACAGGCCGTGCTTCATTTTTACCTTTGTACTTGTCTACTGCAAGCATTGGCGTGCTGGATGAAAGCTGCCGAACCACCTGAGTGTGTGACATCACTGGCCATGAGTTCCAACGGTGCTTTTCGGCCAACTGAAGACCACAAGGTGTCAGCTAGCGACGTCACTGCTATACGACTGTAAGACGTCAATGGCCGTGGGTTTCCACGGGCCCTATAGGACCGACGAAATGCCGTTAGGCATCAGCTGGCGATATGACGTCACTGGTATTTGGCTGAACATCAGGCAACAGGTCATGCTCCATTTATACCTTTCGTACATGTCTGCTGCAAGTATTGGCGGATTTTTTGTGCGGCCAACTAAAGACCATAAAGCATCAGCTAACGATGTGACGTCGCTGGCACTCGACTGTGCGTGTCGCTGGTCATGAGGTTTTACGGCCTCTTTTGGGCCGACGAAAGGTCATACGGCAATGACTGAAGATGTGACGTCACTGGTATTCGAATGAACTTCGGGCGCGACAGACCATGTTCCACCTTTATCTTTGGTACCTGTCCATTGCAAGCATTCCCGTGGCAGGCTCTGCCAAATTACCTGAGTGTGTACGTCACTGACCATTAATTTGCACACTCTTTTGAGCCTACTATAGGCCACAAGGCATCAGCTGACGATATGATGTCACTGGGTTTCGACTAGACACCATGCGCGACAGGCCATGCTCCATCTAAGCCATGTTTCGTCTGTACCTTTCGCACCTATCTACTGCAAGTATTCGCGCGACACAGAGGCTCTGCCGAATTACCTGAGCGTGTGGTGTAACTAGTTATGGGTTAACTCGGGTTTACTCTGGCTGAATGAAGGACATCAAGCATCAGCTGACGATATGACGTCACTGGTATTCGACTAAACTCCAGGCGCGACAGGCCATGTTCCATCTTTACCTTTCGTACCTGTCTCTTGGAAGTATGGGCGTGCTGAATGAGGGCTCTGTCGAGTCTCCTGAGTAAGTAACGTCACTGGTCAAGAGCTTTTTACGGGACCTTTTGTACCCCCAAACGGTATAATGCATCAGCTGATGATATGACGTCACTGGTGTCCGACTTAACATCAGGCGCGACAGGCCATGTTCTATCTTTACCTTTCGTACCCGTCTATTACAAGTATTGACGTGCTGAATGGAGGCTCTGTCGAGTCTCCTGGGTGTGTAACGTTACTGGTCATGAGTTTTTTCTGGCTCCTTGGAACCCTCTATAGGGAAAAATGCATCAGTTGACGACATGATGTCAGTGGTGTTCGACTTAACATGAGGCGTAACAGGTCATGTTCCATCTTTGCCTTTCGTACCTGTAAAGTATTGGTGCGTTAAATGATGGCTCTGCCGAGTCACCTGAGTGTGCGACGTCACTGGTCATGAATTTTTACCAACTATTTTTGGCTGAGCGAAAGCCATAAGGCATCAGCTAACGAAATGACGTCACTGGATTTCCACTGAGTGTGTGACGTCACTGGTCATGAGCTTTTACGGGCCTTTTTTGGCCGAGTTCAGGTCATTAGGTATCAGACAACGTTATGGCGTCACTTGTATTCGAATTAACATCAGTTGCAATAAGCCATGTTTCATCTTTACCTTTCGCACCTGCCTACTGCAAGTATTCGTGCGCTACAAAAAGGCTCTGTCGATTCGCCTGAGCGTGTGGTGTAACTGGCCATGAGTTTGTGCAGGTTTACTCGGGCTGACTGACGGACATCAAGCATCAGCTGACGATATGACGTCACTGGTAATCGACTAAACTCCAGACGAATCATCTGAGTGGGTGACGTCGCTGGTCATGACTTCATACGGATTCACTTGGGCCGCCCAAGGCCACAAAGCAACACCTCCCGTGAAGCATCACAGGATGATATGTCGTCACTGTCATTCGACTTAACATCAGGTCCAACATGCCACGTACTTTCTTTACCTTTTGGACTTGTTTATTAAAGGTACTGACGTGCTGAATGAAGGCTCCGTCGAATCTCCTGAGTGTGTGACGTCACTGGTCACGGGTTTTTTACGGGCTCCTTTGAACCCATTTTAGGTTATAATGCATCAGCTGACATGACGTTACTGGTGCTCGACTAAACATCAGGCGCAACAGGTCATGCTCCATATTTGCCTTTCGTACCTGGCTACTGCAAATATTCGCGTGCTATATGAAGGCTCCGCCGAATCACCCGAGTATGTGACGTCACTGATCATCAGTTGGTAGGAGGTCACTTGGCCACCTACGGCTACGGAGTTCCGCAGCAGAGGTGGGAGATGCACCATAGTTAAGCACACTAATTTTATTGTGCGCACCATTAAGTAACAACTTCAAACGCAACGGGCTGTTTCAACGACTAAAATTTTGAACAAAAGTAAACACAAAACAAAGGTGATCCCAGCCCACAAACCGACGTATATGCAAAGCTATTCCGCCCGACATCACAGGATGCGCCCCTGAGCAGCTACGGTCTGGAATGCCCTGATGGCTAAATAATAAATAAGGGCGCCTAGCGGCCATAAGTCTGGGCCACAGCCCGAATATCAGTGACGTCATATGGTCAGGTGATGCTTGATGTCCTTCAGTCAGCCCGAGTAAGCCCGCGTAAACTCATGACCAGTTACACCACATGCTCAGGTGATTCGGCAGAGCCTTTATGTAGCGCGCGAATACTTGCAGTATGAGGTGCGAAAGGCAAAGATGGAACATGGCCTGTTGCGCCTGAGATTAAGTCAAATACCAGTGATGTCATATCGTCAACTGATGTCTTGTACCCTATAGGTACAAAAAAGCAGCCCGTAAAGAACTCATGACCAGTGACATTACACACTCAGGGGATTTCACAGAGCTTTCCTTAAGCATGTCAATGCTTACAATAGACAGGTACGAAAGGTAAAGACGAACATGGCTTGTCGCGCCTGGTGTTAAGTTGAATACCAGTGACGTCACATCGCCAGATGATGCTTGATGTCCTTCAGTTAGCCCGAGTAAACCCGCGTAAACTCATAACCAGTCGCACCACACGCTCAGGTGATTGGGCAGAGCCTTTATGTGGCGCGCGAATACTTGCAGTAGATAGGTGCGGAAGGTAAAGATGAAACATGACATATTGTATCTGATGCTTAATTGAATACCAGTGACGTCATATCGTTACCTGATGCCTAATGGCCTTAAGTCGGCCCAAAAAGGCGCGGGAAAACTCATGACCAATGGCGTCACACACTTAGTGGATTACCAGTGACGACATATCGTTAGATGATGCCTAATGGCTTTCACTCGGCCAACAATAGCCTGTAAAAACTCATGATGACGCACTCAGGTGATTCGGCAGAGCCATCATTAGGCTCGCCAATACTTTAACAGGTGCGAAACGCAAAGATGGAACATGACATGTTGTGCCTGATGTTAAGTCGAACACCAGTGACATCATATCGTCAACTGAAGCATTATACCATATAGGGGGTTGAAAAGAGCCCATAAGAACTCTTAACCAGTGACATGATATAACACGCGAATGCTTGCAGTAGACAGGTACGAAAGGTAAAGATGGAACATGGCCTGTTGCGCCTGATGTTGAGTCGAATACCAGTGACGTCATATCATCCCGCGATGCTTTACAGGATATGATGCTTTGTTGCATTGGGCTGCCCAAGTGAACCTGTATAAACTCATGACCAGTGACGTCACGCACTCAGATGGTTCAGCATCACCTTGATATAGCACGCGAATGCTTGCAGTTAACAGGTACGAAAGGCAAAGATAGAGCATGGCCTGTTGCGCATGACACCTAGACGAAAACCAGTGACGTCATATGGTCAGCTGATGTGGTATGGCTTACAGTGGGTTCAAAACAGTCTATACAAATTAATGGTTAGTGACGTTACACACTCAGGTAATTCGGCAGACCCTTCCTTCAGCATTCAAATACTTGCAATGGACAGGTACCAAAGGTAAAGATGGAGCATGGCCATGGCCGCCTGAATTGTATTCGGATACCAGTGACGGCACATCTTCAGTTAATGTCGTATGACCTTTCGTCGGCCCAAAAGAGGCCGTAAAATCTGATCACAAGTGACATCACACACAGTCGAATGCCAGTGACGTCACATCATTAGGTTATGCTTTACGGCCCTCAGTTGGCCCCCAAAGATCCATAAAAATGCATAAGATCCATAAAAATGCATGACCAGTGACGTCACACACTCACGTGATTTGGTAGTTTTTATTCATCACGCCAGTGCTTGCAGTAGACAGGTACGAAGCTAAAAATGAACCTTGACCTGTTGCGACCAATATTTAGTCGAATATCACTGACGTCACGATACCCAGTGATATTTCACGGAACATGATACACCGCGGCCGTGGGGCCTAAGTGCACTCGTATCAAGTGATGATTGGTGACGTCACACATTCAGGTGATTCGGTCAAGCTTTTATTCGGCACGCAAATGCTTGCAGCAGACAGGTACAAAAGGTAAAGATGGAATAAGGCCCGTTGCGCCTGATGTTTCATTGAATACCAGCGACGACATATCGTCAGGTGATGCTTTACGGCATTCATTGCACCCAAAAGAGCCCTAAAGCCTCACAGCCAGTGACGTCACATATCCAGTCGAATACCAGTGACATCATATCGCTAGCAAATGCCTTGTAGCCTTCAGTCGGCCCAAAAGAACCCCGATCGATGCAAACCCATTTTCAGTGACGTCACTACGTCGGCTGATACCTAACAGCATTTCTCCATCATGGCAGTACAGGAACCCTGCAGCCAGCGTAGCTCTCTCCCCACCGTCGGCAATACAGGTACCCAAGTAAAAAAAAGCCACAGAAACGTCATACCTATATCAGTTCGTAAATTGGGCAACAGTTACAGCCCTATACATAGTCCGGTATTGTTTGTCTTATGTAATCAAGAACATTAAAACTCTTAAGAGGTTTACCTGATTGATCAGGCTTTATTTGGCCCCATTGTGAACTTGTACTGTATCAATCTGAACTTGTTCAGCTGTCTCCACTCATACTTTTATTTTGAAGACAACTAGACCCAATTTGATTGTGATTCATTATTTTGGGGTTTACATTGCCTCGACGATGGTTCACCACACATACCTTGTGACAATCTGAGCACCCATAGCTTGTGGGATAATTGGCTCCTACTTCAGCGCATGTGGAACCAATATTTCAAGCATTTGGGATGTTGCAAAATAAATTTCAGGCAAAAGTGGTCTTAAAGCAGGTTTGAGTGTGGTACATGTGAGCACAATACTCAGTGCAATGATGTGTGGGTGTTCTTTGCAGCAGATTGACTTCTTCCAGCTATGGCCTGGACTGCATGTAGGCATGCATGGTGTTGTTTTTTTCTCAATTCATGTATCATAAAAGCTTAGAGTTCCAAAGGCCAATGTGGTGAATTGTATGTGAGGGCTCCATTATCCCTATGTCGATAAGCCCAGCTACTAACAACCCTCCTACTCCCAATGTTTTTTGGGCCTCTTAATATTTATGAAGGGGTAAAAATGGAAATGCATTGAAATACCATGCATATCCTATGTCTTATCTTTTGTGGCATATGCTGGACATGGCTACTATGCTGATGATTTTAAAAGCTTAATGTTTATCAAAAAGTTATTTGTAAATAAAAAAGAGATTGCTGCTTGTTCAAATGAGGTGGGCTCAGTTTGTTGAGAAGGACAGATTCATGAGAGATTAGGCTGTGGGGCATTTTGCTGGTTTTCCAATCACAAGCACAAATGAATGCCCCTTTAGTGGCATCTTTGGTGCGGTGAGCAGTTGTGTCATCCAGCACTGGTGCTGCTTCATAAACTGTCTTGGTTCTGAAGCTGTTTAAAGCTTGAGGTATGGTTTCATTCAATGGTTTACTAAATCTTGGAATTTGATAATTAAAGGAACCCTTTGCTCTGTATCACATTGACCAGCATCAAACTTCTGTTCTAAGTTTTATTTCATGAACAATTATGGATATCTACAAATAAAGCCATGAGGTGAGGTGAATCTTGATTTTAGTATGATTGAAATTTTGCAGTTTTAGCAGCCTCTCCTGACCAGTTACATGTGTGACAGGCCTGCACCATAGGTTGTTCTGCATGATATGTCTAGCAAAGAAGAAATTTATTCCTTCAAACTTGTGCTGCAACATTGTAATGGCGCTCAAGTGTGGGATGCCTGATAAGGTAGGATATTTCTGTTACCCGTACTATTTTAGGGTATCCCCAAAATTTGAATGACATGAGAAGCAAAGTTTTAAAATCATAAAAAGCCACGGGAAGGCAGGTGGGACACAGACCCGGACCTCGGCGACCGGGCATCGCGATGGCATGAGACTAACCAATGCCGCCAAAGAGTAGGCAGCGCAGGGCGATGTGCGCACACTACCACCCGCAAGCGTGCGCAAGCCATGAATCCGCCATCGTGTGGGCGTTTGTAAAGATGGACGCCGGGTAGCTGCAACGGGAGGAGGCCGCGTAATATTCCATTTCGTCTTTTCTACAGTTTGCCTTAAAGACAGCACGCTGTGTGCTAAACGAAACGGATCGAACCATGACAACTAAATGAGCTCAAAGTCCGGTTGATTCTGGTAGTCTGTCCCAACAGCTCAGTTGGTTAATGCGCCTGCCTTCAGACCGCCATGCCGTGTGTGTGTGGCGGGGGGGAGGGGGGCACTAGGTCGCTATAGGCGCCCGCTATTTATTTGTCCATGATAGGCACGGCCTGCGACCGGCGGTAGTGATGGCGCTAAAGGCCAGGTGACGTCAGAGGGCAGGACGGTCTGGGCTATGCATTGTAGCACGTTAGACTTGCGCCACAAAGTTCTGCTGTTTGCCTGGATTTGCATGATGGGATGGTAGGAGTCGGGGCTTACATAATAAGCACCGATAAACGTGGTCTTTGACCTCGGAGGCCCATCCATCCAAAAATGTTCGGATTGAATCTGTTTTTTTTTTTAACTTGAATATCAATTCAAATAGCATTGCTTTTCCCGGCACTTCCAGCACAGTCGCTAAAAGCGTTAATTATATGAAGTGCATCCACGTCGTGGATTAAATTGCCTGTCCTTGGCAGGCCCGAAGCCAAACAATATTTTAGCCATGCCAATTGTAAATTTGTGCGCGTGCGCTCGACAGCAGTACATCCTCGTGTGTCCAGCTCGATAAAGGATGGTATTGCCTTGCATTGATCAGTCCTATCTGTGTGGGTTCCTAAAGATGACGGGCTTCACTGGCGCAGGTATAGCCTACATGGTGGCCAACAGTCACGTCTGCTTCTGCCGCGCTTGGCTCACTCTGCAAAGATACGTCTTACTAGCTGATTTCTGATTTCACATTTTTCCTGGTGCTCGTAGACTCAATGGAAAGGCTTTGGGTGGTGGTCTTAGTTAGCATTTACTGCAAAGGCGACAGTAATAGTTCAATTTTCTACCGTCTGTTTTCCAGTACTCCAGTTGGCTGCGTTTTCAAGAGGAAGAGATACAGCATTGTTGAACACAGACGACTATGCGCTGTGGCGCGCCCTGCGTGATGCCGGGTGGGCCGAGCGGCGGCCCGGTGAACGCAGCAGACGGCGAGGTCATCTGGTTCCTCTCGGAGGAGGTGTTCCGCTCTCTGTCGCAGATCGTCGACGCTATCGACGACTGCATGGAGGCGTTCCCGGCGTCGCTGCGCGCCGACGCGCCCTGCGCGCAGGAGCGCTTCGTTATGCAGCAGGCGGCCAGCCAGAGTAGCGCCGACACGGCCAAGTGCGTGCTGGTGATGGAGGGCGCCGCCATCGTGCAGGCGGAGCTGCAGGTCAAGATCCAGAAGCACCCCAACATGATCCACAAGACGTCGATCGAGCCGGACGCGCCGTGGGCGCTGGGCCAGCTGCAGGACTCGGCCAACATGCTGGCCGAGGCGCGGCGCTGCGCCGAGCGCGCCGGCCGGCTGCGCGCGCCAGCTGGCGGCGGCGAGCGCGCGCCGCCGCCGCCGCCGCGCCTGCTGGCCGCGCGCCTCGACGCCGCTGTCGACGAGCTGATGCTGCGCCTGAAGCGCGGCAGGGACTGTCTGCTCAGCCCGCGCAAAAAGACCATCGAGGACCACCTCAACAGCGAGAACATGAAGTCGCTGAGGCCTCCGCTGCCCGGCGATATCGCCGTCAGCTTCTACGTGCAGGGCCACCGTCTGATGCTGGCCGTGTACCACCTCGTGCCGCAGCAGGGCAGCATGAGGTTCGACTCGTTCCTGGCCGAGTGCGTCATCGCCAAGCTGGAAACGGTGCTGGAGGGCTACACGCAGACGTTCCAGATGTGTCAGCAAATCAAGAACAAGCTCAGCTGGGCCAGGAGGTACCATGAGCGTGCCCGCACGTGTGCCCCAGTTGCTGTTCAGAATGGCATGTAACACGCACAGACAGCTGCAGGGTACGTCCGTTACGTGATCTGCCCACCGTTCTACAGCTTAGATGCTACATGGATGGAGTGATGGGAAACCGTGCAAATGCTCAAGGTGGAGGGTATCTTACGCGTTGTTGGTGGGCTTGCAACGCTCGCCCGGTGATAAATGTAGCACGTCGGGATATATGTGACAACACAAGTCTTCTTGAAGCCGGCATGGATGCCTGTCACTGACGCGGAGCTCTCGGTCCGCCGGAGCGTGATTGGTGGCGCGGCGCGCCGGCGGCGTAGGTGGCGCTCGTGTCTGTGCGAGTGCGAGCACCGCTGGTGGTGCCGCCTGTCGGGCGGTCCCGTCCGACCTCGTACAAACTACCGGCAAGACCGCGGCGCTCGGATCGCGCGCCCGAGGGCTAGATTACTCCAGTCGTTAGTTCATGTTATGATTTGAAAGCGGATCAGGTATTACTGCGGATAGTAGAGCACGCCATTGATTGGAAGCGGTTGCGCTAGAGGCAGTGGTGTTGAGAGGGGAGAGAGCCAACTCGCCGCCCCACTCCCGTGAGATTTTGAAGATTGTGCCTCGCGGGCGCCATAGCATTGTTGCAATATGACCGTCGTTGCTGCTAACAGCTTGTGTTTGCTGCGTCAGTAAAAATAATAATCTCGCTGACCGAAGTTGCGTCATCACGTACCGTGAATGCGTCCGAGTGAATGAATGGTGCAGTGAATCGCACGTCCGGGTTTTAACAAGTTAGCTCTTGAAACGTTCTGCTTGGCAGCGACATGCAGCCGGATTGAAATCCATTGTCAGAGACTTCGAATGATGCTGGTGCTGGAGCGCAAGCAGCTTCACTCTAACTAGGCATTGGTTTGGGACGTCGGGGGTGAAACCAAGCGTACCGAGCATAAATTTCGCCGGCCGCCTTCGTGTTGGCGTTCGAAGACTTGTGACAGCGGCACTCCCGGGTTGAAAGAAGGTCTTCCGTGATGAAGAGAGGCTTGCCGCGTGGTGGCAGGTGAAAAGATGCAGGGCTCGTGAGCCAGGGGACTTGCGCGTATGTGGAGCACCGTGCTGTTCTGGGCGAAGTTCCAAGTGCCGTCGCTTTGCTTTGGTGGTGGTAAAGCCCTCTCGTAATTTGGTCATGTCTGCACCAGGCTTGCGGCGCTGGGATGGAAGAGTGGTCTCGATTTAACCTTCATTCCAGCTGTGGTGTTTGAAGTCCGTTGGTTTCACCCTAGCTCCGTCTGACGAACTTCTGACTTAATTTGAAGCTGACTGATTGCTACATAAGACAAAAGTAATAGCCTTATTCTTCGCAGAAAAAAACAAACAGGAGAATGAAGATATAGATGGGTTGATATTTCGGCAACATGCCTTTATCGAAACAGTAGCAGAAATATCAACCCATCTATAAATCCATTCTCCTGGCTTTTCTCCGAGGAATAAGGCTATTACGACTATTTCATGTATGTGAATAATGTTCCTCGGAAATGCACTGAACAACTTACCTAAATGATTGCAGTTGACAACTTAAAACCCCTCGAGAAGGGCATAGTATGCGAATCGCATTGCGTCGCCAACATCGCCAGACGGGATGCGCGGGGGAGGACGGAGACCTGAGAAGCCGATCACGCCTTCCTACGACGCCATGGCGTATATTACACATTGCTTGTGGCAGGTAAATATTTGAGCACAGCATATGTATAACAGTCAAGCGCGGACACACGCCACGTATGTACAGCGCCGAGGGCCCACGCCCCAGCCAGGCATACGAGGCACATGGGCGTCACGTGGGCATGCTAGATGCCTCAGACCTATCACAGCAGGTTCAGAACTCGGATGGCGTCAGAGGACAAACAGGGACAACCAATCATGGGGCGCGCGGGTGACAGGTCGCATCGGGTTGTCTTACTCACTAATCTTTGGCCGTTCTAGTCGGAATAAGATGCATGCACATGACGGACTGCTGACTGGAGGAAGACGCGCTGCAGCAGCCAACGCTTCGCCCATAACAGTTGACCAAGAGAGGACAGGTATTCAGAGGGTAAATGGCTAGTTGACTCACGACGGACAAACACGACAGGCTGCTACCAGCGTACGAGATGAACTGGTGTAATGAATACCAATGATGAAAGTCGTCCGGCCCTGGCCATTGTGTTTGCATGTTTATGATACATAACTGCATAACATGTGTAACGGGTATCTTAGGATGAGCTTGCAGGCGTCGATGACTACAGGTGCCGGCGCGAGCTGCCGTACACTCGCGCGTTCGTGCCACATCGACGGAAATAGGACAATTTCAGCGTGCATTTTAACAAGCAACATGATTTATGCTTCTGATAACGCTTCATATCCTACCGGATCACTCATTCTCACCTGGTGACCCGGGAAAACAACATACACGAGATCATACAGCAACAGTGGTACCCGCGGTCCACGATCACACAAAGTTGTCCACGTTGGCCACTGTGAGCCTCACAGGCTTGAGCAATACCAAGCCCACCAAGTCCCGTCGGCCAATTGCGGTCAGCGCCTGCACGAATGACGTCACTGTAGCGTCATTGCGCTTCGACCAGTCCGCAATGAGCATGCGCGCTGGATTTGTTTTCCTCTCAGCTGCCAGCTCCTGGATCTGCCGCACCTGCTGCTTCGAGTACCCTGCAATCACGGGAAACGGCGTGAGTAGGTCCAGTTGTGTGCACCGGGCGGCGTCTTCAGCAGACGTCATCAGGTAATGCGCGCCCAGAGCGCTCGGCGCGGTGGCGTTGGCACGGTCGGCAGTGACCACCCGCCAGATAACCCCACGAGCAAAGCACCCCAGCCCCGAGTCGGAGAAGGTGTGCCTCTCACCACGCTCAGGCCACAACGCCGAGCCGTCCAGTTAGCTTCGGAAGCCGCACCTTGTGCTCGCACCACATCGGATTACAGCGCGCGTCCGTACACTACCTGTACCGGCTCCAGCCGATGGCTCATCGCCCGCCGGGCTCGTCGGTACACTACCTGTACCGGCTTTAGCCCATGGCTCATATGTATCACCTGCCGGGCTCGTCGGTACACTACCTGTACCGGCTTTAGCCCATGGCTCATATGGATCACCTGCTGGGCTCGTCGGTACAATACCTGTACCGGCTTTAGCCCATGGCTCATATGGATCACCTGCCGGGCACCTGTACCGGCTTAAGCCCATGGCTCACATGCATCACCCGCTGGGCCCGTCGGTACACTACCTGTTCCGGCTCCAGCCGATGGCTCACATCACCCGCCGGGCCGCCGTTACCGCACGGCGCGGCACAAACCTCGTCCAAGCTCATTGCTGTGACTCAAGTGCCGCACTCCGAACCTGCTGAGACGGCGCAAATTCCCCCGGAAAATCCACGAATCCATCAGGGCCTGTCAGGTGTTCAGACGGGGCAGGGGCCGGCTCCTTGGGACCGCTTACCGAGCGCGGCGGCCAGCGCCGACCAGTTGTTGGTGGGGTGGCAGCAGAGCTGGGTCTCGATCTCGCAGCGCTCCGTCGCCGGCATCTCAGCTAACCTCTTCCTGAGCGGTGCTGCAACGGACGGCGAGCGGTCAGACTGTGACGAAACAGGGGACGAAGGGTTGGACTGTGATGAAACAGGAGAAGAAGGGTTAGACTGTGACACTATGGGAGACGAGCGGCCAGAGCATGACACGGATTGGTCTGACTGTGGCAAAACAGGAGACGAGGGTCAGAATGTGGCAAAACAGGAGACGACGGGTCAGAATGTGGCAAAACAGGAGACGACGGGTCAGACTGGCAAAACAGGAGACGAAGGGCTAGATTGTGACATTCCGGTACACGAGCGTTCACATCATGACACGGAGTGGCCGGACTGTGACATTGCGTGAGACTGGCGGACAGACCACGACACGGCCAGGAGGTCCGATCGTAACAGTGCACGTGACGCGGCGGGCGACGAGCGCTCACGCTGCAGCACGACAGGAGGCCGGCGCCGTGCCACGACAGAGCGCCGCATCAGCAGCCGCGACCACATATCGGTCCCCACCCAGCCACAGTGGCCTGACGGCGCGGCGCTGACGGCCGGCGGTGGCCTCCGTCCCCACCTGTGCCGGTTAGCGGCCGCGGCCGCCGGTGGCTGCCCGCGCGGGTTCGAGGCCGTCCGTCATCGGACTGCCGGATCATGTCGGCGGCGGTCGCCGATAGAACTGGCTCCGCTTGGACATCAGTATTCGGAGTATGTCGCCGCGCCGGCCGCACGGCCCGGCCGGCCCGCCGCCGGCCGGCTTTTTCGTCAGTAAAATTTCAGCCATTTCTATTGTGCGACCCTTTTTATCCAGGTAATTAAGTGAATAGCAAGCCCTTGCGGCCGGACCGGCCGGCCGGCATGCCGCCGCGTCTGCTGCACCGCGGAAGCGTGAGAGTCTGCCGGCGACGCCGACGCCCGGCGCACAGTGACGTCACCGTCGTCGGCAGCTGCGGCGGCGGCGTGACGCCCGTCCTGGCCGTCACCGCCGTGCCCCGCCGGCGACCGGTGGCCTCCCGCCAGCGCCGTCCACGTGACGCGGCGCCGCGCCTCGCCGACAGCGTCTCGACACCAGAAACAGTGATTAAACACGGCTTTTACGGCGGCCGGCGGCGCGCCTTAATTGACGGGCGGTCGACCAGCCGGCAGGCGCAGCGCCGGCTAATGACGCCGTCCGGCACGGCAGGCTGCATCTGCAGAGCCGCGCCGCCGCCGCCACTGCCCCGCCGCCGCCGCCGCCGCCGCCGCCGCCGCCGCCGCCATCGCCGCCGCATTGTCCGCTGCGCCGCCGCCGCCGGACGACCACCGCTTAGTGGGCGGAACTGCGGCGGCGCCGCGGGCCGCGCCGCAAACGCCGTCGCGGCGAGCAGCGGCGCTTCCCAGACCGCGTCCGGACGACAATGAACCCGGCCGGCCGGCCGCCATCATGACGCTAATTTAAAACGCTATTAACGGCGGGGCTTGACGCTGGACGCGAGAGAAAGACGGCCGTACCCTATAATTTCATAATTACCTGGCCGCGGCGAACGGCCGAGCGGCATGCGATGAGGAGCGGCGGCGGCGGCGGCGGCGGCGGCGGCGGCGGCGGCGGCGGCGGGAGTCTCCCCCAGCCGGCCCGCCGCGGACCGCGTGGCCACAGACCGCCGCCAGGTCAGACCGCAGACCACCAGCGGGTACGGCTCCGGCCGCCACAGACTGCGGTCGGGTCATGGGTCGGAGCGCCGCCGGCCACAGCCGGGTCCCGCTCACGCCACTGCAGGTCGTTCGTCCGACCACCAACGGGCCACGGATCAGAGTACCGCTATGCAGGCAACGGCGGTGCCATGGGGCAGATCCACGCAGGTTGCATACTGCTGCTGGTCCAGAGATCAGTCTGATACGTCATCAGAGCTCGTGATTGCAAAACGAATCAGGAAAGTTGTTTGACTAGCTCCTGAAATCGCCAGAGGGGCGGACAAAATAACTCCGCCACACCCAGCCAGTAACTCTTAGCCGAACCGACAAAACGGTACTGCTCCGTGTTCACGCCCCCACATGTCCGCACGCGAACGGCGCGTGCAACCGACTCTCCCACTGGCCGAGCATCAGCTGTCGAGCCGGGCTCGCCGACACGGGAACCCACGCCCCTGCACCAGCAGCGGCCCTCGGGCGCCTGGCCAGTACGCCCACCACCGGAGATCTGTGAAGTTTGCTACAGCCGTTTAAAGCCGCCTGGCAGTCCGTCAAGCCGTGCCATCCACCGGCTCGTGTCCATAACGCGGACCGGCACCGAGCCCCTGAGCGAAGCCTCCGTCAGCTTCGGGCGGCCATGCGTCAGCAGCCATCTGCCTCAAAGTTGCGCAATAAATCGACCCGCTCGCAACTGAAACCGGTCAAAGGCTCGCTGATGGCAAAACCGACGGGGCAACACTGCCCATGGTACATGGGCAACACTGCCCAACACTGCCCATGTTCTCTGGTACAACATGCAACGCCAGTTCCGCCTTCTGCTCCGGGCTTCTGTCCACAGCGGCCCGCGGGACACACCACGGCGGCGACGCCGAGTCAGGTGCACTGTGCACGTCCAGTAGCGCGGCCACGTGCAGACCACCTGTGCAGCGCGGCCCACCGGCCTGGCCGGACCGAGCCGTGGCTGGAACGTCGGGCTGCGCGTCGCCTCTTGATTTACGACAAAACCGGACCCTCATAATATTTTGATTTACGACTCCCAGCATATGGCCGCAAAAACGGAGGAGCTTATTAAAACAAAGCGACTCGGACCGTGGCACGTCAGGTGCGCGCGGCTCGGCCGGTCGGCAGCCGCGGTGACATCTGACGGCCCCGGGCCCGGCGCGACCGTCCGCGGCGACCTTGACCTCCGGCGGCGCAGCCGCCGTCCCACTGGCCGCTCCCGCGCCGCCGCACTCCGCCCGGTCTGTTTTATGAAACTGCGTCGCGCGTCATGGCATAAACTTTTACGGAGCGCCACCGACAGCAGAGGTCATGTCGGCGCTCAGGCCACTGCGGCACAAACTGGATTCGAACCCACGCCTCCACATGGGAGCCAGATGCGTTCACCGCTCGGCTATTATGATCTCCCCGCCGGGTCAAATGGCGCGGCACCAAGCTGACCGTGTGTGACGTCACGCAGTCCAAGGTGGGTCAGACGGACCGCGGGTCAGACGGACCGTGGGTCAGACGTACTGTGGGTCAGACAGACCGTGGGCCGGACGGACCGTGGGTCAGACGTACTGAGGGTCAGACGGGCTGTGGGTCAGACAGACCGTGGGCCGGACGGACCGTCAGACGTACTGAGGGCCAGACAGACCGTGGGTCAGACGGACCCACGGACACGGGTGGCCTGCGAGTGTACCGAACCCCGAGACGGCGGACTCACCGGGGAAGAGCGGCTCCACCTGGGGGCAGGCGGCCGGCTCGGCGCGGCTGGCCGGCCGCGTCACCACCACGGCGGACGGCGCCGCCGGCGCGCTCGACTTCTGCGGCGCCGTGCGCAGCTTCCAGTGGCGCACGGCCACGTACAGCAGCAGCACTGCAACGGGTGAGGCGGACGTCAGCCGGGTGGAGCCAGCTCGGCGGCATGGCGGAGCGGCGGGCGGACAGGTGGAGCGCGCGGCCTGTGGGGTGGCTGGCGTTGAGGAACAGTGGTGCGGTGAGGGGGGCACGAGAACACAAACACACGCACACGCATGCGCAGTTTCGTACGCCGCACCATCCACCCACGCCACGGTACCGAAACCGGTACCGAAACCTCACCGCACAGATGAAATCAGCAGCCGGACAAAAACACAAAGTCGAGTACAATCACGTCCACCACAAGATCTTCAGACCACAGAATGTGGTTCATGTGAGCCATGTCGCCGTGGGACCGCGGAAGAGGCCAGAGCGAGATATGCCGAAAACAAAGACCAGAGCAAGGGGCACGGACGCGGCGGCCCTCAGAAGAGGGATTATGATGATGCTGATGGGGCTTATGGGCGCGCCAACGAGGTCGTTTTGTGTCCATCAGAAGATGTATGTGATCATGTTTATGTTTCGCTCTGCAACGTAACAGACTTCGTGCCGGTTTTGTCCACGGCTCGAGAGCTTCACCACGCATTCACCGCTACCTTGTATCTCAAGTCATAAATGCGTGACAGCCCAGCGCATGGGCCCTGCAAACGTTTAAAAACTGCACTGCGCAGGCGACTGGGATCCGGACTCGCCGGAAAAGGACTGACTCACCGCGGCGCACTCGTTCCGCGGTTGGTAACCTAAATACCTGCGCCATTTAATGGCTTGGTTATTTATCGTCGCCCAAAACTGCGGACGAAAGCCTTTCTTGACAGTTGGGCTGAGTAGCCTCCAGTTAGCTGATGAAATCGACCCGGACACTGACCGGGCAGCCCCTGGACTCGCTGCACTACAAATAAACACTAAAAAACACAACGGCGCCACAAGCTCCACATGTCCCGCGGGAGGGCAGGGCGCCCGATTACGACGCCCTGAAAAATGGACTGTGTCATTAAGCCCGACAGCTTACTAAGTCCTCGAGACATCAAACAGCTCCATCTGCGTGTCGCACCACGCCGAGCGCGAAATCCGCCGGCCGGCCGCGCCGGTAGTCGGCACTCGTGTTCTCCCATTCATTGTGGTCACGCCGCCAGCTGGATTACACGGCCGGCCGGGGCTGGCGGCGGCGGCGGCGGCCGGCGGATCCGTGTCCGACACGGAGCGGGCCAGGCGGGCCGGCGGCCGGCCGCGCGCCGCCCTTTGTGCCCGCGCGCCGCGTGATGTACGGCGCCCAATTACAGGGCCGGTCGCGCCGGTCGCCGCGCGGCTGTAGTTTGACACCGGCGGCATTCCGGCGCGGCGGCCAGCACGCTCATCAGACGGCCGGCTAATGCGCGGGTGGCGGCCCGCTAATGTTTACATCTGTTGCGGTGTAATAGCCGGCCCTGACCGCGGCCGGCTCCGGGCCGGCGCGGCTCGGGGCGGAGCGGCCGCGTGTTTTTGGGCGGGCGGCCGCGGGCCGGGGCATTGGCGGAGCTGTGGGCGGCGCCGCCGCCTCACACTAAGCTCCGGATGAACACCGGCTCAGGCTGGCCCTCCCTTTCTGTTTCACAAACGGCCCCGGCAGCTGTCAAAAGTCGGGAGTCGCTGAGCGGCCTCACCAGACACGGGGCCCGCGGCGCTGGCTCGGCTCGTGCGTAAAGTGATGAGGGCGGAGGAGGAGGAGGGAGAGGGGGGACGGCTGGGTGTTGTCGGCATGGCAGCAGACCAGAGGCGCCGCCGCCCGGCCCGACCAGCTGTAAACAGCCACGGATGGCCAACAAGACAGATAGACAAAAGCCTTGCACGCCGCCGGACATCGGACAGGACTGGACAGCGGAACTGTACTCGTCACGCTCATGAACTCGCTATCTCTGCCATCTCTGGCCACCCTCAACCAGCATGGTATCTGGCCCATCTTTTGCCTGATATTTTGGCTTTAATGCACCTGCTCCCTGTCCTGGAGTCTGCTGCGCTATCTCTTTCTAGTGTCTGCATTATTCGCAAGCTGCTACAAAATCGGTATGTAGCCTGGCCTGTCTGCATCATTCGTTGTCTGCCCTCTGTAGTCTACTGGTCTACTGTTTGCTGTCTGTAGTTGTCAGTAGCCCCGGTCGTCCACGGTATGAGAGGATTGTAACGGGGACAATGGTACAAGCCGAGCCCATTGTGTTGCATAGGTAAACGGCCCCCGATGAAAAACAACATCGATCATAGAAAAAGCAGCTGTTCGTTGTGCAGTCCTATTGAACCTACGTCGATGCCCTGCCAGCCTTCCAATGCCGATTGCGCGGGCGCCGGCTGTTGCCATTTCTGGAGCACGTCGAAAGACTTCCGACCGTTGGGTTCATTTTCCAACTGTTATTCAGCTCTTCTGGACGCTGGCTTGCGCTCAAGATATCAACCGGGGTGCTTTCAAGCAGTCGCGCAAAAAGTACCCGGGCCAGGCTGCGTCGATGCCGCCGCTGCATAGCCGCCTCCCGACAAGTCCATGTGTTCCGTTCCCCTTCCAGTACAACGTGCCTCAAACGGCGCCGGGACACGGTGCACAGCACACCTGACACGCGGCACAAAGGACGCGGTGCGAGGTACTCAGTGTGCGGTGCGCCGCTGGCGACGGCGGCGGCGGCCTCCGCCGTGGCGGCCGCGGCGCCATCGCGGCACCGCCCCAGGGGCGCCCAATTGGACGCGGGCGTTGAGCGTGCAGACGAACAATGAGGCCGGCCGGTTATAAGCACTAGGCAGCGGGCTGCCGTGACGGGCCCGTAACGAGTCGGCGCGGTGAGAGGTGGCCGCGGCGGAGGGGCGGACGGCCGTGTCACGCTGACACGCCGGCCGGTGCCACGGTGTCACGGCAGCCGGCGTCACGCGGTGTTACGGCAGAGCGGTGCCGGTCACTCGAGCGGTGTCACGTCCAAATCGAGGGCGGCGTCAGAGGTGGCGCCCGAACACAGTCCAGCTGTTCCATGCGGCCCACAGCCCACAGCCCACGCGGCCCACGCGGCCCGCTTCAGCCCAGAGCCCACGCGACCTGCCCCGGGCTAGCAGGGCAGCGGGACGGCCGCACGCACCGGCGCCAGTAAGCGCGTGCCCACTGACGCCGGCTCCCTGCCCTGGCCGGAGCCGCGCGGGCCGTGCAGACGCACGCCTATTGGTGATGGGTCACCAGCTGAGGAGTCGGATGACCGGATGGCCGGATCACCTGACTCCATCACCATCTGATCGTCTGGCGGCCCATGGCCAAATGATGGCGCTTATAGTCGGTGATGACCAGGGGGCACGCCATCCTGTCCGCGGGTGAGCGGTGGCCAGATGACTCGTGCCTGTAGTCCTGCCCACGGATGAGCGGTGGCCAAAGGACTCGTGCCTGTGATCCTGTCCACGGATGAGCGGATGTCCGCCTCACTTTATTTCTACACGTATGCCAAAACTGTGTTATGTTAACGCCCCCAGAGCGGGTACCCACACCTGGTGATGACCAGAGTCCGTGCTCTGGTGACGCCCCGGAGCCGGTGCCCACACCTGGTGATCACCAGAGCCCGTGCTCTGGTGACGCCCCGGAGCCGGTGCCCACACCTGGTGATCACCAAAGCCCGTGCTCTGGTGACGTCCCGGAGCCGGTGCCCACGCCTGGTGATCACCAGAGCCCGTGCTCTGGTGACGCCCCGGACCCGGTGCCCACACCTGGTGGCCACTGTCGGCCGGCGGGAGGCGCCGGCTTGATTCAGCGCTCACCACCCTAACAGTCGGGCCTGCATGATCATACCAGGTCCGTAATGGCGCACTTAAAGTCGGACTGGCAGGGAACATGAATAAGCCTAATATCCAGTTACGGCGCCCTGCGGTGACGCAGCACAAAGGCGTTCTGCCTCAAGTGTTAATTCGGCCGGCTCGAGGAATACCAAGCAGCGCCGCCGGACGTCCAAAGCCAGCCACTTACACACGGGACAGTGCACAAAACGGCGCGGGGTCCTGCACGAGCCACGTAACAGCTGCACAAATGAAGCATGCCAACACTTATAATGTATTCATAATCATAATCATGGAAATGAGAACGTCCCGCCGTAATGAGACCGGTCACGACAGCGCGCGGCGAGCCTCCGCCGCCGTTCCCACCGGGCACGCTCGGCGCTGGAGCTCGAGCCCACGGCATGGCACCCACGTGGGCAGGGTACTGACTTGTGTCGTGTCTAGGCTACGGGCCGCGTTGGTGGCGTCACAGCCCACCGTGGGGTGTCCGGGCTACTGACGAGGACGGCGCTGGCCGCGGAGTGACCTGAGTCACCGACCATCGTGACACCCTCGGATACCGACCGTGACTGTGTCCGGGGGACTTAATGTGACGGCGGTATTCACCAGCACAGGTTGCACGTCACGGCGCGCAGATTAATACGAGAACGCAGTGTCACCGAGTCCAGATAAAGAGCAGGAGCCGTGACGGCGTCAGCGGCGCAGGCCCGGCGCACTGACCGAAGATGACGGTGCCCAGGATGCCGCAGTAGATGGGGATGTCGGAGGAGACGTGGTCGGCCGGCCAAGGGCTGCCCGCGGCGCCGGTCGACAGGTGCGTCACGCCGCTGCCGCCGCCGCCGCCCTCACTCAGCCGGTGGAACGACTCGTCTGAAAACAGCCGGGCGGGGGTCACACGCAGCTCGCACAGACCGGGCGGGACAGGAGCCGCTGGGGAGGGGGCTGGCGTCGGAGCGGCGCCGTCGCACACACAGGACCGACAGGCCAGACGGTACGGAGCCGACCGGATGAGAGGCACCGCCGCTCGCACGGAACCAGTCGGGCGGACCTCATCGGGCAACAGATACCCCTCCACAGCAGAAACCCTTCTACAACAGAAACCCTTCTACAACAGGCACCACTCAACAAGACACCTCTTCCGTAACAGACATCCCTCCACAACAGAAACCCCTCTACAATAGACACCACTCCACAACAGACACCCCTGTACAACAGGCACCCCTCCACAACAGACACATCTCCACAACAGACACCCCTTCACAACAGACATCTCTCCACAACAGACATCACTCCACAACGGACACCCCTCCACAACAAACACCCCTCCACAGCGCAGGTGGCACCATCCGCCGATACGTTGCATGCGGCTTGCCGGAGATACGTTGCACGCCTCACCTACATAGATATGTAGTTACAAAGATATTTAGATGAATATATGGATACACGGATAGCTCAGCTGCCATCGAAATCAAAACGAATGGTGGGCATGTAGCCACACCGCCGCGCACCTTATGTATGTACGGACCCGCACAGAGCTCAGCTTCACACAAGGGCACGGCTGTGCGGGCCGGTCGGCTGCCTGGCGGGTCCGCCGTCGGCCGGCCGGCCTCCGCGCGTCACCCCGGCCGGTCCTGCAGCCACCGGCCGCCGGCCAGCGTACACAAACAGAGCGAACGCCGGCGGTGGCGGCGGTGGCGGCGGCGGCGGCAGCGGCCGTGCGCCCATCAGAGCCCGCGCCGGGCCGCCCCCAGATAACAGCGCCGCTACCGTGTGCCCGCAGCAGACCTCGTCCCACCGACGTCGCCGGCCGGGCAGGCGTCGACACCACCCCTGTCCCAGAGGCGGAGACGCGCGGCCTGCCTGCAGCGACGCCGATCGGCTGGGCGAGGTCGATGGAATTCGCGGAGTGTATGTCAGCCTTGGGCGACGGCGAAGCGTCCCCGGACTGCTGGGCTTTGAGCATCCCCGGACGATATTTGGATATTTATGGAGCGCCGACCACAGCGGTCCGTTTGCGCCCGGGCGTCCCCAGTACCGCACCGGCCTGCCGTGGCCGTCACGGTCGGGCCACGACTCGGGCTCGACCGACCGGCATGTGTGCCGGCCCGCCAGGGCCGTGCGAGCCCCACGAACCGCTGGTCAAGCGTACAGCCAGCGGCGGCGGCGGCGGCGGCTGCGGGCGCGCAGTCCGACATTGACCCGGCGACCCCGCGCGAGGAGGGAAGCCGCGGGCTGGCGCCGGGCGTCGCAGCAGGTCGGGTCAGGTGAAGGTGGCGGCCCAAGCACGCCGTGGCCGCTGGCTTCTCCCACCAGTAATGCCGCCTCGGTAGTGGGTCATCCCACAACCTAACCTTCGGGCTATTTCTTGCAAGCTGCCCTCATTGTGACTGCGTCGGCCTGCATCGGCAGCGGCGGGAATTCATTAAGACAGGTGCGCAGCGCGCGCTTCGCTGAGCAGCATAACGCCACGAAAACAGGCCGTTCAGGGTCCCCCGGGCACTGGGGCCGCTGCCAGGTCAGGGTCCCCCGGGCAGGTCGTCAGGTCATCCATGCACAGGACAGGCTCCGACTCCAGCATCAGCTCAAACGGACGCAGCTCGCAGAGCACGATGTCTCCGACTGGACATGAGCTCACAGTCGCAGGACTCTGTTCGACGCTCGATGGTAGCTGTACGCTGACGGACGCGAGGGTTCGCGCCGCTGACACCGCACGTTCTGTGGTTCGAGGTGGGAGGCGACTCTGACTCCTGCGCCGCCGGACTCTGACTCCTGCGCCGCTGAGCTCTAACTCTCGCGCCGCCAGACCATGACTCCTGAGCCGCTGGACTCTGACTCTCGCGCCGCCGGACTGTCTCCCACGCCGCTGGACTCTGACTCCTCCGCCGCCGGACTCTGACTCCTGCGCCGCCGGACTGTCTCCCGCGCCGCTGGACTCTGACTCACGCGCCGCCGGCCTCCTGAGTCCTGCGTCACCGGACGCGGCGGGGATCGGCGAGTATCGGTCGTGCGGGCGACCGCAGGCTTTGATCGGCGCCGGTCTTGCCAACAGCTGGGCTGGTGTGTCATTAGAACAGGCCGAAATCAAACCGAATGCCAGTGCAACCGGCCTTGAGACGCAGTGTTTTTCCGGCGGTCACTTTGATCGGAGTGGGGGTCGGCGGCGTACCACCGGCGGCTGCAGGGAGGTATGTCAGGGGTGTTCGTCTCGGCGGGGGGCGGCGCGATCTACCCTGTCCGGAGAACACCTCGAGATGCAATAATTGCGCGCCGCGGTGCCGGCGGCCGATACGGCATTAGTATCCGCCGCACTGGAGATGCGCCTGGTCGACCTTTGAGCCTGGCTGGTACCCACCGGGAACGTCTGGAGTACAACGGAAAAACGTACCCGATCGATGCCAGCCAGGGTCGCTGATTTTAAGGCACCACATACATACACATACATATCCAGGCTGGTCCCAGCACGGTGCTGGAACAGTCTTTTTTCATCTGCCGCGTGGCCCCTCTCCGGTCTGATGTCGCCCGGGGGGTCGGCCACTGCACGGTCGCTGGCGCCGCTGGCGGGCGACGATCAAAGCACCGCGCCCTGTCTCCGTGACCGCTGCCAAAGCCACCGGGCAGAAATGGCGCCGACTCTTTTGATCGCCGCACGGCTCACTTCACAACTATGCGACTAGGAAAATGAGCAACGAAAGTGGCAAGCCGACAAACAGCCAGGCAGGGCAAGGTACTAAGAGACTTGTGAGGCGGGCCTGCCGCCAAAAAGTAAAATGAAAACTGGAGGGATAGGTGCCCTGCAACATGGGACCAGCCAAACGAGATGCGGAGGCTTAACACAGCATCCAGAGGGGGTCTGTTTGAAGCTTGGCACCGTTCTTCCAGGCCGGCTGTTCGTGTCTTCCGACACGATTACCCCAGATCGGCACTATCACTGGAATCCGACAATCTGCACGCAATGGAGCGCACCGGCGGAATGTTGACGGCTCCCCCATTGCCCCTGCGTCCCTGAAACTCTACGCCGGGCGGCAGGCGGCATGATATCAGCACATCCGGCGTGTAGCCAGAGGCCTAAGGCTGTGGAGCTCGGCTGCAGCCAACGGCGCGGGCAGGCGCCGTCACGTTCGGCCCCGAGCCGGCATGGCGCCCGGGTCGCGCCGCGTCCGTGACGAGGTCACGGCGGCACTTTTGACCGAGGTCAGCGGGTCACGTCGCCGGCCGTGCTCGGCCCGGCAAGGACACAGCGGCCGCAGCTGGCCGAAACGCCTCGCCGACGTCCGCCGATTGCAGCGGACCACGTCCTGCTGTGGTCGCGGGCGAGCGGAGACGTCTGTCATCACGTCCCAACGCTGAATAGTACGCTGTCGTCCCTCGCAGGTCCAGGCCCCCGCCGCCGCCCAGACCTCACCGCGCCGCCGGGCTGAACTCGATTCGTGCCCGCCTCCCCGCCTGACCTCCGCCGGCCCCGCCCGTCTCGACACGTACCCGCCACTTGCGTCGCACCCTTCGAGCCGCACCGCCGGCCGCCGGCCGCCCTAATCACCGAGCGCCAGGGGAGCGCCGTCCGCCGGCGGCGCCCCGTCATTACGCGGCGGCCGGGCCGCGCCGCCGGCCGCAGTGCGTGCATGCCCGCCGACGCGATGGTGTGAAAATTACAGACCGGCCGCGTCTAATGGCCGGGCCCGGAGAGCGCACCACGGCAGCCGGGGTCCACGTCCCCGCCGCAACAGACGGCCAATCATCGTCTCATCCGGCCGCCGCCCGGCTTCGTCGAGCCTACATGATTTTGCGTGTTGTGCCCAACTTGACGGTTGGTGATTTAACACACCGCAAATGGATGATGGCAGCCAGATGGTAGTGTCAGAAATGTTCTTTGCACCAAAGTGACATCGGCGGTGTGCCACTCTTCCCGCCTCCATTTTATCCGCCCGTCAGCCTGAACGCTTCCGTCGCGCGTCTCTGATTACCGAGTCCGGGGTTCGGTTTCATCGGCCACTCTCGGAGTTCCGCAAGCAGACGGCTGCCACGTGTCACCTCCGGCCGGACAACAGCTCCGGCTGGACACAAAATTACACCGGCGTCAGCCCGCTGCGTGCGGTGGACGGTACCCGAGCTGCTGTGCTGCGTGCGGTGGATGGTACCCGAGCTGCCGTGCTGCGTGCGGTGGATGGTACCGAGCTGCCGTGCTGCGTGCGGTGGCTGGTACCGGAGCTGTCGTGCTGCTTACGGTAGATGGTACCGGAGCTGTCGTGCTGCGTACGGTGGATGGCACCCGAGCTGCCGTGCTGCGTGCGGTGGATGGTACCCGGCTTCCGTGCAGCGTGTAGTGGATAGTACCCCAGCTGCCGCGTTGCATGCGGTGGATGGCACCCGAGCTGCCGTGCTGCGTGCGGTGGATGACGCCCGATCTGCCGTGCTGCCCGCGGGAGATAGCACCCGAGCTGCCGTGCTGCGTGCGGTGGATGGTACCGAGCTGCCGTGTTGTGCGCGGTGGATGGTACCCGAGCTGCCGTGTTGCGTGCGGTGGAGGGTACCTGAGCTGCTGTACGGCGGCAAAACACCAGTCACAAAATATTGCCATGCCGACAGGTTTTGGCAGAGGGATCAGAGCTGAATTCCAGATGCTCAGACATTTCCAGCCGTCCGGTTAAATGAGCTGGGGCCTTAGACCTCAGGAATGCTAGATATGGCGTCCAATTTGTAAAGACTATTAAGGGGCCCCGAGACTTTCAGGCGTTTTGGGGTGGTCAATGATCTATTCGCGAACAAAGGCTGTCTTAGGACGTCAGAGGGCATTCAACCGGCCAGAATCGAGATATTTGCAGGCTCCGAGACAAGCCGGAGAGTGGTCAAAGGACACCGGAACCCCAAGACGGCCAAAAGTCACTGCACGGTCAGGGTCCTCGAAAGCTCCAGCGGAGATGTCCCCACCCCCTTGCCAAGATGGTCAGAAGGTGCCGGAAGGACTAGGATTCGCTGCAGGACTTCTCAGCCCGGCGCCGACATGTTCCGACACGCCAGAGGCTGCCTCGCATTCCTGAGACGACTAGACGCCACCGGCGTCAGCACTACGGCCAAGCGATGGGCCTCAAGAGGCCAAGAGGCCGCTCTTCCTCAGAGCCGACCCCAGCCCCGTCGCGCCCCCAGCTCCAGAGCCGGCCGGCGGCCCCGGCCCTGCCGCCGCCGCAGACACACGGACCCGTTCGCTTCTGAATGCGTGGCCGCTAATCGCATGAGTGCACCGCCAAAGGTGAACTGCTTTAGCGGCCGTGCACGAGACGCGCGGCCGGCGGCGGACGGCGCACAAAGGAGCCGAGTGCGAGCCGACCATTCCTGGCGCGGCGGCGACGAGGACAGGCCTGCTCTGACGGGAGGCGGAGGCGGCGACTGGCGGTCTGTCCGACCCGGCAGGCCGCTGCAGAGACCAGCTCTGTTCGACAACGCTGACGGCAGGCCGGTGTATAGCCCGGGTCTGCTCGGCGGCGCTGACGGCAGGGCGCTGTAAAGCCCAGCTCTGTTCGGCTCCGCTCGCGGCCGCACCGTTACCGGGCCGTAATTGGCCGTCGGCTGCGGCCGGACGCAATGATCCGGCACTCTGCCGTAAAAAGTGGCTGGCCTTGGCCGGCGGCGGCCGCCGCAGACGCGCCCGAGTCGGCCGCTGCCGGCCGGTCGCCGTCTGCCGCCGCGGGCGCTGTCCGAGCCGCTGGTGACCGCGTGGCAGCGGCGCGGCCGGACCGACCGCCGCCGGCGGCACCCCGGCTCCGGTCGCCAGGCAGCGGCCTCGGCCTCATCCGCCGTCACTGCCGGCCACAGACGACACTGCGGCGGCGCTGGCGACCGCAAATGTCGAAGGCCACCGTAAATGCAAAGTATGTGTGGACCTCAGTGTGGGAGAAGCTACGTGCCGTGGTCCGTTCTAGGCATTGAGGCATTGTGCTCAAAAATACCGTATTAGCCGACTTCGGTACAGGCACTAGCCCAATGCACAAACACCAGCCTGAGGAGTCGGCGAGATTGGCTGACACTGGTACTGATACCAGCTCTCATTGCACACCTTCAGGTCAACACTTCAGGTCACCTACAGGTCAACACCTACAGGTCAACACACTTCTTGGTGCCACTGGCAGATTCCGAGGCGCTGACTGGCCAAGGACTACGCAGCGAGCGGATTTATTGAAAGTGATCTTTCAACATGGTTCAAATTATTATAGTGCTGGATGGGGAAAATGTCCATTTCGCCGCCATGCACACAAAAAGCGTTGCGCCAATCGCTGCGCGCCATACTACGGCCAAGATGGCGGGGGGGAGGGGGCATCCCGGCAGGCGTAGAGGTCGCCGTCTGCTATCCAAGCCGCATGGAGGTCACCATCAGAAAACGGGCGACCTGGAGCCGTCGCGGAAGACCTGACTTCCCGGCGCACTCTCATACCCGTGTGCATACCCAGTATTCTGTCCGCGTACTGTTTGTTACGCATCCCAGCCGCTGTCAATATTAGTGCCGGCGGCGGCGTGGCGTGGCGCCCGGCTCGACCTCCGCCGGCCGCCATGATGGCCAGTGTTTACGAGTGAGTCGACTGCGTGCAGTGCAGACGTGCCGGCCGGCCCGCCGCAGCCAACAGCCGGCCTCCCACTGCAGCTGCCACCACGTGCCGCGGGAGTGAGAGCTCGCCGTAAGTGGATGCTTCCAGCCCCGTTACAGAACGCGCGTCGGGCGGTAGTCCGGTTCAGGCGCCTCGCCTCGACGTCGGACCATTGCGGCAACGGGGCACGCTCCCCTAGCGCCGGACGCTGGGGCGTGCTTCCCTAGTGCCGCACAGTGTCGCCTCCCCCCCCCGTCCGGTGACGTCAGGGCAGACTCATCCATGCAGACGGTGTCCTGTCCTCTGGTGCAGTGTCCCCCCCCCCCCTCCTTTGGTGACGTCAGGACAGACTCACCCATGCAGATGGTGTCCTGTCCGCTGGTGCAGTTCTGTATGTTGACCTGGTCGGTCCGGCACGTCGAGCAGCGCACGCACTCGCGGGCGCCGCCCTCGGCCGCCTCCTGGCTGAAGGTGCCGGCCGGGCAGGCGCCGCACACGGTGTTGTGGTGCGGCGAGCAGGGGCGCGAGGCGCCGGCACCGGCGGCACACCGGCCGCACGGCCGGCAGGCACCGGCCCGGCCGTCCAGCCAGTGGCCGGCGGCGCACTCGCAGGTGGTGTCGGCGTCGGCCGAGCAGGGCGCCGTGCGGCGCGCGTTGGCCGGGCAGCCGCCGCAGCATTGGCCGCCGTGCTCGTACTGGCCCGGCTCGCAGTGCAGGCCGTAGGTCTGGCGCACCACCTGAGGACGGCAGAGCTGAGGTCAGGCGGGCGGGGCTCCGGCGGCGGGGCGAACACGGCCGCTGGTCACACCGACGCGTCCCGGGGAGGTCGCTGGGACCGAGGCGGAGCAGGGCCCCGGCAACAGGGGCGATCGCGGCCGCTGGTCACACCGACGCGTCGTGACCGACGGCCGCGATGTGACCAAGTTCCAGGTTCGTACACGTGTGAAACGAATGCAAAAGGGTTCAGGGGAGTTCTGAGGGGATTTCACATGGTCTGAACAATTCGGCGATAGAAAACAACAGAAGCAGACGGCTTCCAACATGTCAGGAACGAATGTTTCGGCCACATTTGAACGCGATGCAACACAGGGCGCGACGCGTCCCGGGGAGGGGCGGAGCACGAAATAGAAATGTAAATGAGCGGAGATGTAAACGCAGTGACAAGAAGTACCACCGATCGCCGATTAAGGATGAATGTTGAGAACACCACACAAAGACACACCCTTCGGGTGAAATGCTTATAGCGGACAACATGTTTAAAGATGCGACGGATGCCGGCGGACGATTCTCTGGCAAAGGCATTTCTTCAGCTGAACGGCCCGCCTGCATGCAGCATTAACAGACACAGGGAGTGCGGTTTGTAAAAGAATACCTAATCACGGCGTGCAGTTACAGCCAAGACGGCACCAAACGACCAATCAGTAGGCGTTGGTACAAAGTGAACCGCCTTGAAAGCAGGACCACTTACACGCGGGGTAAGATACAGCCAATTAATGGCTAGGCCCGGAGGCAGCTTGGTCAGAGTGCACCTGCATGTGGGAAATACGCTGTCTGAATCCGGTGTCATCTGAGAGGGAGGGGAAACCTGAGTTCTTTTCTCCATTGCTTGCTGTATGCAACGTCAGTCATCGATATCGTGGAGAGGGATGGGGTGGGGGAGTGGGGGGGGGGGTGCCGCTGCCCCCCCTTCCCCCTTCCCCCTTCCCCGTCCCACCGTCCACCGTCCCTGTCTGTCCGTATGGTCCATAGAGACAGGATGCTTAAGAGTCAGGTCCGACTTCAGAAATATTCCACATCTGTGCGCGGTAAAGTTCCAGCCGCCCGGAGTCCGTCCATTTCCAGGCTGTTTCCAGCTATGTGCCCCTGTTCTTTGCTTGAAATCGGTGTGCACGCTATGTTTTATATAATATGTGCAGGGAATCTGAACTCAGCATGAGTGATGTTGGCAGATACAGACCGTAAATCTGCCATCCTCGGCCCAGACAGGCATCTGTTGGAGTCACAGACCACGTGTCTGCCAGCCTCAATCAGGCCGGATCTGCTGTAGTCACAAATCGTGAGCTTATCAGCATCGAGTGTCCGTGTCCGCGAGTCTGCCGCCGCCGAGCCCGACCGGGGTCTGCAGTGTCCACGAGCTGCCGCCGCGGAGTCAGATCACGGGCCTGCCGCGTCCACGAGTCTGCCGCCGCCGAGCCCGACCGGGAGCCTGCCGTGCTCACCGACCGCGAGCCTGCCAGCCCCCCGGCCCGGCAGCCGGCCGGGGGTCCGCCCTGCCCGCCGGCTCCGCACGCCGGCGGCACACTTCAAACGGGGCTCGCCTGCACGCCCGGCCGAGCGCGGCCGGTGTCACTTTGAACCGTCTCCAGATGTGGCGGGGCGGCGGCCGCCGCCGCCAGGGCCGGCCCGGCCGCCGCGCCGCTCTCATTAGCGGCGCGCCGTCGGCCGCGGCGCCGACAGAGCCGCTGCGTACCCCGCTCAGCAGCGGCCGCCGCTCGCCATGTCCGGAGAGCACCGTATCTTGCAGAGCTGCGGCCGCTTTGATTAGGGCTGGCGGCGGGCAGCGCGCCTGACTACTGCACGCCGCCCGGAGCCTTCGGAGTCGCGATGTATGTACATCCCGCAGATAACATTGAAACTCAATCGTGCGCGACAGCCACTGTGGTAAACTCGCGTGCGCAGCGTGCCGCCCTTCTGTCGCAGAATGGAGACGTAAATAAAGGCGCTTCGGTCTCCACTGAAGTGTGTAATCGTCGTCCGTGCTCTCTACCTGTGGTGACAGACGCAGCACACAAGCCAGGTAGTAGTAGTATAGTCATCGGTTCCAGGCGCAACTTGGCCACCGAAAGGCTTCCCATTCCAACCTGGTGCCAATTGGATTCCGTGTCCGTAAAATGGATACGAATTACGTGATGGTCATGTTCTTCAGCATCACTCTGACCTCTCATCTCTCAAGCCTTCAATATCAGCCCAAACATGCATCGATGACATCAGAATTCAGTCTTCAGTCAGTTTACAACACAATGGCACTTTCAACTTGCGCTGGACTCGCTTTCAGCAAAGGCACAGCGGCTAAAGGTTCTGACATCCGCGCTCGTGTCATCTAAAACTTTGCTTGAGCCGTTATAATTCGACCTAGCTTTGTAGTCCCTGTCAAGAAGATTCATGACGACGAGTTGTTTGATCAACTTTTCAAGAACTGGTTAAAAATACATGCTTTTAAAGTAGCATAGGTATGACGCTGGCTGAGCGAACAGAGCCCTGTTGGGGAGGAGCGAGGAACAGCTGGATCGATGCCCGCACGGGCTGAGCCGGGCGCGGATAGCGTGCTGGCTAAGCAGTATTTGACGTTTGGGCGACCATGGTCCTAGTTGGCGTCGCAGAGTAAGTGGCTTCCTGTTCACTACGACTTTTGCTTTGCTCATGCGTGTTTTGGGTCACGATATACACTAAGCGTTTTCACGGATGCTTACCGCGCGAAACATTTCATGGATGAGCTTTCCTTCAGAGGTGAGCTGGATATCGTGACAGCTCAGCTGCATTTAACGTTTACGCGACCGTTCGCTGGGTGAGGTCGCGAAACAAGCAGCTTCCTGTTCTTCCCGACTTCTGCTTTGCTGAAGCGTATTTTTTGGTCACGATATATGCCGGGTAATTTCACAAAGTCTGCTACCGCGCGGTGTGCTTCAGAGCTAAAATTTCGAAATTGTTTAAGTATATATATATATATATATATATATATATATATATATATATAATAGTAACATAATATATATATATATATATGATTATACAATAAATTAAAATTAAAATTTTGAAATACCGTCTAAAATATTCATCTTCAATACAGAGTGTGGATTCAGCCAGCTGGAGGTCTCCTGTAAGCTGTGCGGGATATGCACACCATATTGTTTTGTTTGTTTTGTTTATTATTTGTTTTTTAATCGGCGTCAGGCCCGAGGTGGACACGTAGATACTTCGGTTCCAAACGGTGGTAGACGTCGCTGGTCCGAGCAGTCCATTCCTCCGGTGGATTTAACTTATCACGTGCGAAAAGCGAATAACACTAACAAAGTCCGGGATTCCCCAACATGGCTACAACTCTACGCGTCTCACGTCTTCACAACTAAACATGCCTCCGACGGCAGTGCCTGAGCTGGGGCCGGCCCGCACAGCGGCGCCGCGCCGGTACCGCGGCACCATCGCAGTACCGGCGCCGGTACCGCGGCGCCGTCCCCGGCGGCGCCCGGCCGCAGTGCGGCGCCGCCATTTGCCGGCCCATCAGCCGCGGCCGCGTCGCCAACAGCCCGCGGAGCATGGCGGCCCAAACGACCCGGCCCGCCGCGGTCGGTCGAAACAAGACAAAATAAAATTCGACGCCGATGACAAGGTACCGACCAGCGTGGCCGAGCACCAATTCCCAGCCGTTCCGGCGCACCGACTATTGGTCTCGGCAATTAGAGGGGCCGTCATAAAACCGGGCGTCCGGCAGCCAGCCACTTTCAGGACAGGGCTCAAATGTTTTCCCGGGGTTTATGGCGGACCATTAGACTGCCTGTGAAAGGCCAGGAATGCAGCCGGGTCCGGGCAGCGACGCGACGCCGGCGGACGGCTCCATCCGAGCTGGCGCTGATGGAACACGGCGGCCGCGTCTCACTGGTGGAACACGCCAGCCACGTCTCACTGGTGGAACACGCCAGCCACGTCTCACTGGTGGAACACGCCAGCCACGTCTCACCGGTGGAACAAGCCAGGCACGTCTCACTGGTAGAACACGCCAGCCACGTCTCACCGGTGGAACACGCCAGTCACGTCTCACTGGTGGAACACGCCGGTCGCGTCTCACTGGTGGAACACGCCAGCCATGCCTCACTGGTGAAACACGCCAGCCACGTCTCACTGGTGGAACAAGCCAGCCACGTCTCACCCATGAAACACGCTGACTACGTCTTACCCGTGAAACACGCCGCACGTCTCACCCGTGAAACACGTCGACCACGTCTCACCCGTAAAACATGCCAGCTACGTCTCACCCGTAAAACCCAACAGCCACGTCTCACATGTGAAACACGCTGACCACGTCTCACCCGTGAAACACGCCGGCCATGTCTCAACAGTGAAACACACCGGCCATGTCTCAAAGGTAAAACGCCCGTGCGGACGTCAGGCGGACAAATAACCGGCCATTATCAATAACCGGTTGCACCGCCGACGTCTGATAGGTGAAACACCGCAGCAAGGCCCGCCCCTGCAGCATCCGGCGCCGGTGCCGCGGCCCGCCCCACGCGAGCCTCTCCGCTAATGGCAAAATAAAGAGCCGGCGTACCCGGTGCAGCGCGCGCCGATCCGCCGGCCGGCCTGCACGAAAACAAACAGATTCCGCGACTCGGGAGAGCGAGCGGGTTGCTGCTTTGAAGTGCGGCAGCGCGAGCTGCATGAGCGGGCGGCTGGCGGGGGCGGCGGCGGTGCCTTTGAAGCGCGCGCCGCCGCGGGTCATTAAAGGCCGTCGCT